CCATATGTCTCATTCACAGACTTTGGGCTTTTGGGGTTAGGCAGAACTGGGTTCCGTTTTCAGCCCTCCCCTTTTGTCTCTGTAATTCAGAGCAGAGGGCCTGATCTTGGTTTCTCTCCCTTGGTACAGCATGGATGGAAAGGCAGATCACAAGGTAGTAGTGTAAGGAGTAGATGCACTGATGGTTGTAGCAGCAGTCTTATAAATGGTAGCTATTATTCCTTGACTTAAAAAATACAGCTTTAGAGACTAAAGTGTAGGAAAAAAAGTCATACATGTGCACAGTATCACTTGAGGAATGAGCTGCTTTTGTACATAAAGACAAGTCAACCGCTCCACTACTAAGAAGAGCTGACAGTTGGAAGGTTTGCTCTGCTGTATGGAAGGAAGAGCTACATCCTGTAGCCAAGCAGCAAACAGCCTTTGGGTGTGTGAGAATATGTCACAAACAAGTCATCCCTAGTTCACACCAGGTATTGAACTTAGCAGACCTGTGGCCTAGCTAACTTTTAGACATTGAAGGGATGGTGATGAAGAAAATGTTGTGCTTATAGTTCTTTTTGATCAGTGATTTGAAACATAAACACTCTTACGAGAACCCAGTATAGAGTCAGAAGTAGAAATAAAATTTAGTGCCAAGTTGCTGTGGTGACTGGTTTCCAACGGCATCAGTGTTGGAGGTTCCTCTTCATTGCATCCCTTAGGACCGCTCTTGCTTCCTAAAGCATCACAGATGGCGTTATTCACATGCCCTGTCTTTACCAGCAGTTGTAGCCAAATGTTTTACTACATTGAATACATGTGCTGGTTTGTCTTGCAGGTTGATATATTTTTACTGTGGGGGGAGAGGGGCAGTACTAGGGATGGAGCCCAGGGCCTTTGCACTGAGCTGCATCCCCAGCCTCTTTTATTTTTTGAGACAGGGTCTTGCTGCATCACTGAGTTGCCCCAGCTGAGCTCAGACTTACAATGCTCCTGCCCAGAGTGCAGGGATTGCAGGCCTGTGCCATCACACCCATTTTGAGGGGGAAAATAGAATCATTGCTTACACCATCCATCTTCTTTTTTTTGTAGTCTGGTAGTGGCCCTATGAAGAGCCGTCTGAGCCTTTAATGCAAGTCCTGGAGCCAGCACAGCATAGGGGCGTGAGAGAATGGCCCAGCCAGCGAATGTTGGGGAGCTGCTCTCCATGCTGGATTCTCCCACGCTGGGTGTGCGTAACGACGTGACGGCTGTCTTTAAAGAGAACCTCTACTCCGGTAAGCCTGGGAGTGTGCTTTTTAGCTTTTCTGCTCGCAGGAAGAGATGGATCTAGAGCCGGCTAGAACCCAGCTGACAGATACTTGTTTTCACCTTTTGAAGAGAGTTTTTTAAACCACCAGAAGAGAGCATACGCTGGGGGGGTTCATGCTGTATGCATTTTAAACCTTTAGTTATAGAAATAAACACACAGAAGGATGTGACTCTTACAGCGGACCCCATGAACCCAGAGTCGGAGTTGATGCCATTTTTGTTTCATTTTGCCTCACTAATTCTCTCCACAGAATTTAGAGAAAAAATTCAGATATATTATTTCATCTGTAAATCATATTGTAGTTTTTAATATGCAAAGTGGTCAGCCTGAATCTAGAGAAATACAGACTTAAGTGGAACTCTTTTTTGCTTACCAGATTTACAAGGCAGTTGTAAAATGTGAAAAATGAGCACTGCTAACACAAGTATAAAGTGTTCAGCTGTTCTGGAGTGTTTGTTGTGAAGTTAAGAGCTCATTTGGCCGCTTAGCAGAATCAGAGTCTCATCATAGCCTGAAATGAACTATGGTGAAAAATTGGAGAACTCAAATATTCTCCAGTAGATGAATGGTTACACTAAGTCTGGGGAGTTGTGCAGGGGAGCACCAGGAAGACAGTCAAAAGGATAGAGCAGGTCCTGGGTGCTTGAGGGTGTCTGCGATACATTGTTAATTCAGTGGGAAAAAAGAAACGATGTGGACAAGTTGGAAGGGATGATGCCAGTAGGAAAGTGTCTGAGAGACACATGCCAAGCTAAGGGTGCTTACCTCTGAAAAGTGGGCTGGAGCAAGTTGTAAGGAGAATTTGCTTTCATTTTCTTTTGCATTTCTTTTTTTAAAAATTAAGTTTATCGATATGTTTTAGGTATACATAATAATCACATTCATCATAGGGAATTTCTACCTATACATGGTAGAACTTGATTCTTTTTTTTCCCCATCCCCCTCGCCTCCCTTCAGTGCCTCTTCCTGTCCTTATTTACAAAAGATTTGTTTCTATTTTTTCCCCCTTCTCATTTTTTTCCCTTTCCCTTCCTTCCTTTCCCTCTCCCCCGCTACCTAGTTCGCTTTCCCATTTGAGCCACGTTTTGGTCCTTATGAATACTTTCAGGATTTGCACCTTTACATATTCTTAATATGTAACAATAGACATGGATATTTTATAATTTAGAAAGTAATGATGCATTTTGCATGCTTATATGGATAGTTAGGCATACAAGCTTGGAAGTATTGTTAAATCTAAATTTAAATAGGCAGAAACGTGATGCTACATAAAGCTTTGAGTAGCATATAACAAAATGTTTTCTGGATTTTGTGACTTGAGATAGTGAAGAATGGTGAAGGAAATGAGTACATAAATTGCGCATTTCTGTGTTTAGACCGTGGTCCTATGCTTGTAAACACCTTGGTGGATTATTACCTGGAAACCAATTCTCAGCCAGTGTTGCACATCCTGACTACCTTGCAAGAACCGCATGATAAGGTAACTGCTGACAGGTAGCGGGGGCATTTGATACATCCTGCAAGCGTCGGGTAATAGCTTGAGTACAAGACCACTGCATGGTTTGTCCAGAGCTTCTCCAGACTTCTAAGTGACACGTGTAATATCATGCCCAGGTAAAAATAATTTGAAAATAATTTCCAGGAACATTTACAAAATAAAACCGACGTCAGAGGTTTTTAACAATCTTGCTGGTAGGAGAAATTTTATAATCCCAGTGCTGTTAATTGTACAGCAATGATTTGACCCGTATGCTATCCATTGTTAAGCCCATGCGTTGAGTAGGCTTTTTAGACTTTATGGCAAAATCCCTGAGTTCACGTAGGTGATGTAAGTCCTGTCTCCTGGCACCAGGCATGTACACAGTTCCTTTCTGTTTTCCTCTGGTTCTTTTTTTGTGTGTGGTAAATATCTAACAATGTACTGTAATGGCAGACTGGAGTGCATGTATTCAAGCACCCTCACTAGGATTTGAAGATCTTACCACTGTGCCTCTTTTACAAAAAGTACCATTTCCCCCCTGTACTCAGGCTAAATTGTAATTTTTGCCACCGTTTAGTTTGTATTTAGGGCGAAAGTGTGCATGCTGGGAAGTTCTTGCAATAAGTGGCTTCCAGCCGGACCCCTCACAGCTTCAATAACCTGCCACAGATTTGGGGTCAGTGGTTATAGTAAGAGCGGAGAGAGGCCGAGGGCACTTGTGTGTCGTGCACCGTGGCCCCCCCCTCCCCCCCGCACCTGCGGCTCATGTGATAAGCACCCTTTTTCAGGAATTGCACACTGGTGGTTCTCAGGCCATGGGCAGTTCTATTTTGTTTGCAAACATGGTTTTGAAAATCTTATGTTTGATCTCTTTACCAATGTACATCAGAGGGGAGACTTGAGAGGCTGAAGTCCATCACTGCTGCCTGTGTTTGGGCTAACTTCATACATTCGTGTGAGGTTTCTCCGTGTTCTTTTACATTTTCAGCACCTTCTGGACAAAATCAATGAATACGTGGGCAAGGCTGCTACCCGTTTATCCATCCTCTTGTTGCTGGGGCACGTCGTGAGACTGCAGCCATCGTGGAAGCATAAACTCTCTCAAGCACCTCTTTTGCCTACTTTACTAAAATGTCTCAAGGTAAGATGTCTGTGGGGATTTGAACGAAATGGTGGTCTGAGTGACTCACAGCAGGTCAGCTGGATGTTAACTTTCAGAAGTTAAACCCTTGTAGGTATTTCTTTAATGTAATGTAGTCTGGAGTTAAAACTTCATAATTCTCAGGTGTATCACCACAACCGTCGAGTGTCTTTTTGTCTGAGCAAATAAGGTACAATTTCAGTCAGATGGCTTCAGTGTTCTGTGGCTCCAAATATCTTTGCTTTCGTCATTGTCTAGCCTTCCTGTCATTACAGTTTGTGGAGTTCTCTTTTAGGAATTTGTCTTTCAGTAGAAAAATGGCTAGAGGTCTTTTTAACCGTCTAAGAGCATGTTACTTCCAGTGGCAGCTATAAATAAAGATTTTGTTGATAGAGGTGCTACTGAGCTATAGTCTACTTTTTCTGGTATTGAATTAGGTATATTTTTCTTAAATAGTCAGAATTTGAACTTTATGGCTTTAATTTTGACAGTGGCTTGCTGAAATACTCAGAGGCATTTTCTTAATCTGTTTTAGTTCCTAGGCTTATTTCCTTCCATAAAATAAGAAAATGTGCTTAGCATTAGTAGCCTGTGCCTCACAGAGACGTGAACGTATCTAGTAGTATTTGTTCCAGGATGGCAGCACCTTCACATTCACTTGATACAGCACCATGCACATTGATTTTTGTGTCTTGCCAATAAGGGTAAACTCTTACTATCCCTAAAGTCCCGAGGAGTCACATTAGTTAGGTATTGTAAAATCATGCATTTGATATAAAGAAAAAGCAGGAACAGAAACAGCACAGACACACAACACACACACACAAAGCAGGACAGTTTCAACAACTTCATATTCTTTGAACAAAGGGATTGTTGAAGAGATAATCCAATTTCGAGGATTGCTAAACACTTTTATCTTTTCTAAAAGGGTAAGCCTATTGACTGTTAATTATGGGCTGTTATCTAGGTCTTCAGTTAGAATGTTAGGTCACTGAAGTTAGGTTGTCTTTTATGCTGGGACTCATGTAGTCCCATCATATACTCTCGGTTCTCCTGCCAGTGTATTCTTCTTACCACTTACCTGCCACAAAAAAGGTTGGGGCTTGGTGTAAAAATTAAGTATATTTGAAACTTTACTTTCAGATTCATAGATTTCTTTTCTAATAATAATGGGTACCATAGCCTGCATGGTCTCTTGATTAATGTTGTGTTTCATAAATCTTAATTTCAGTTACTTGGCAAACATCCTTAATTTAATTATGGGTCAAGTGAGTTGCTGTATCTGGCTTGAGCTGATTCATTATCCACTGGTGTCAAGTGTCTTCAATTATCCTAATGTTGACTTGATATTTAAAGTATGGACAGAACTTTATTTGCAGATCTCTACTGCTGTGAAAGTGAGTCATCAACTTGTTAGTGCTATTCTCATTTTTTCTACAATTACAGTCCTTAAAAAATGAAACAGTGAATATATCTCCATGGTAGAGTGCTTGCCTAGCATACATGAGGCCCTGGGTTCTATCCCAGCAATAGAAAAAACAAACAGCAACAACAAATAACTCCACAGGGAATTATTTCCAGTATGTAGTGTTTTAAAAAATTGACGTAACAAAAAATAAATATTGTAGGATTTGACTGAATGGGTGAAAACAGAGCAGTGTTCTGTGCTTTGTTAGGAAACAACTTTTTGTGTCACTATGCAAGTATTATAAGTAGGGGGTCCTGAGGTATTATAACTTAGGAGTCTCCAGACCAAGTTAAATGCATCTCCTGTGTATGGCAGTTGTATGGGCATATTGCAGATGACCCTCCCAGATTCATCACAGCAGATCTACACCTCACTGCTTGTTCTCTGAAGTCCATTTCAATGCTTTTCCTCCGATCCTGAGGGATAGGGGACCTGAGTACTGAGGAACATGTGATTTGTGGTCTGTCAGTATTTAGAACCTTACCTGCTGCCCAGTGCTGTGCCCAACAAGTGTTTCTTCTTTGCCTTGCCTTCTGCAGATGGACACTGACGTCGTCGTCCTCACAACAGGTGTCTTGGTGTTGATCACCATGCTACCAATGATTCCACAGTCTGGGAAGCAGCATCTTCTTGATTTCTTTGATATCTTTGGCCGTCTTTCATCATGGTGTCTGAAGAAACCAGGTACAGCGTCCTTGTATCTCTGGCAGGCTCCTGATCCACAGATCCTGTACTGTGAGGGCAGAAATGAGTGGTCACTGGACAGATGAGAAAATCCTTGGGTGTGTTCATTTAGGCACATACCAAAGGCATGGCTGGTGAGATACTGTCCTTATTTTGTTGGCTTAAGAGGATTAATTGTCAGAGAAACAGTGATGTGATAGAAACCTTTTTGATTTTGAGTAAACTGAAACAGTTTCAACCTCTGTGGTTGCAGAGATGATTAAACAAATGTCACATTTTTATTTTACTCTGATGATGTTTTGTGGCAGAACACAGACTTTGGTTCTGAGAACCTGTTCATTGTACATGTAGAAGGAGGAGAGAAAATGTAACATGTGCCAATTATCATTCCTGTTTCAAGGGCACTGGGATTATTTTTCTAGATCAGCAGGTGGCACAGCTCTATCAAGTGATTCAGAAGCTACAAGCCTGTGAAATTTACAATCTTTTTGTGATGCTGCCATGAAGTAGTCATATAGAAAGGATGAAATACATTAGGGTCTGTGAGAGAATGCTGTGGTTTCCCGGACAGTAATAAGCAGTCCCATGTGATGGCAGTTCATTTCGTAGGATCTTTGGGAGAAGGCAATGTCCAGTATCCATTATCATGGAGGAGCGGGGTTTTCCACACGGTCTAAGGCTAGATTAGTGCAATTGTCAAATTCTTCCACTCCTAGCAACTTCATCTACTTTCTGGATAATGGTTTCTTTTTGCTCTTTAGTTATAAGCCTGCGTCGTTGAGACTGCATCCTGATTTTAAAAGGCTTTCACACATTTGTTCCACAAACACTTGGGTGCTTCTTGTATTCTGAGCACTGCAAGGTACTGGCGACAGCTGAGTAGGGTGGTTCTTTTCTCAAGACACATACGCTGAATTGAGCAAGAAAAGCAAAATTAGAAATTGTAAGAAGCACAACTGTCATCATAAAAGTAGTTCAGTGTTACCAGAATGTTGGGACTCCTTTTAGGGGCACGATGTCCAAAGGCCATGGGAGCCATTGGTGGATTTTGAGCAGAGGCCATGTGGTGGTTCAGGTTTGCATTTGAGAGAACCACTCTGCGTGTTCATGTGTTGTGCACCTGGAAGACTCTTATTGGCAACTCAGGTCTCCTTTCGCTGGTTTCCTTTCTTAGGCCACGTGACGGAAATCTACCTTGTCCATCTCCATGCCAGTGTTTATGCCCTCTTCCACCGCCTTTACGGAATGTATCCCTGCAACTTTGTCTCCTTTCTGCGTTCTCACTACAGTATGAAGGAAAACTTGGAGACTTTTGAAGAAGTGGTCAAGGTAAGTTAAAACTGCTTATTTGATACAGTACTTGGTGCAAGTACTTTGGATGGATGGGTTACATTTATAATGTCTGCATTAAGTGGTAGGTAGAAAAATTTTGAAAAGGAATCCAGCTTTCTCCTACAAGCCCAGTTCATCCTTAGACAACCACTAGTTGCCTTTCTGTCTTTATGATGAAGGCCTGCTATTCTGGATATTTCATATACGTAGGATCATACAATGTATGCTCTTTTGTGACTAGCTTCTCTCAACACAGTGTTTACGTTTCATCTATATTGTAATATGATCAGCATTTCACTCCTTTTTATTGTCAAATAATATTCCATTGTGTGGATATGCCACAAAAATTTACACCTGTTATTTGTTAACCCAAACTCTTCTAGCCAATGATGGAGCATGTGCGAATTCACCCGGAATTAGTGACTGGATCCAAGGACCATGAACTGGACCCTCGAAGGTATAGAAAATAATCGAGTGACAAGAGTTTTAAGGTTCTCTTGAGAGACTGAAAATGTGATATGGGAGGTGTCCCTGTTGAGAAATTATTTGGGACTAAAAATGTTCAGTTTGTAGAGTCACTGTATTTGGAAGCACTTGTACAGCTGGAGCTTGTGGGAGTCTAAGTGGTACCCCTCACAGACAGAGAACTGGTAACTCCTTTAGCAGAGGAGGGGAGGTGGCAGTGCCCCAGGAAGGCTTACCCCTTGGTAGTGCCAGGCTTGTGTGAAGTACGTGGTTGAATAAGTGGATTGCAGGAGGGCCACGTGTTGAGTGGTGGACTTCCCCGGGGCCTGTCGCCCCTGGGCATAGCTTGGCACCTCCAATGTGCCCTACCGTGGGGCCTTGCAGAATTCCCAGGCTTGTTCTCTGGAGACACTGGCTGGAATGTGGCCCTCGCCTTGAGGACACCAGGCTTGGTACCAGTAGAGCTGAGGTTGAGGTTGGAAAGGAGGAAGGTGAAGGAAATTGGACAAACGGAGCTGTGAGCAGCTCCGCTCTTCCCCACTATGTCTCTGATCCTCTCTTCTTCTCCAGTGAGCGCTTGGAGCCCTTTTAGAGGAAACTGAGCCACAGATGGTACCCTCTGCAGTCTCCCACTCTGACGGCTGGCTCCTAGCCAATCCCCTTGTAGCCAGCCTCACCTCTCTGCCAGCTGTGTGCTTCTACCATTCAGCCTCAGCTGGCCTAAAGCAACTTACCATGAGGCATGCAGTAGGTAGAGAAGTGTACACAACGTGTATGTGAAGTAGAGTAGTCATGCACAAACGTGTAACCGGCACCCAACTAGAAAAACAACATTCCCCTTATCCTAGGAGCCCCTGTGGGACCCTTTTCCTCCCTGTTCCCTTCCCGCCTCAGAGATAACTACTTGCTTTTCTGTTATTCCCTTGTCTTTGTAGATTTGCTGTGTGTGTTCTGTTTTGAAAAGCTGATTAAGAAGCCGTCCTTGCTCAGGACAGGCAGTCCTGTCACTGGTAGAGGCAAGGTCCCCGGGATGAGGGCGGGAGCAGAGTGTCTGAGTCTAAGTCTCGCTTCAGTGTCCTTGAGAGGAAAGGAATCCCTGAGGACATCATGCAAGGTCTTGAGGAAGGCCAGGGAAGCCCAAGGCTCACCCTTGTCTGAGGAGGCCCCCACTAGACATGTGACTGAGATAGACGGTGGTGACTTGCAGTTCTCTGGACTAGGTCAGGCCAAATCCTTCAGTGAGGTAAAATGGATGTCCTCTGACAGAATGACAGCCTCATCGCTTGTAGTGAACACAAATGATCTAGGCCAGGGTCACCTGGCTCTGTTCCTTGGCTACACAGGTAGTGTGGAGCAGCAGGAGCCTCGAGGATGGTCTGCAGCATGCACCCCTCTTGGCAGGTCTACTCTTTATGGAAGCAGTGTCATCTGGGCCTGTGTCCAGCTGTTAGCTTGTCTTCTGGAGCTTTGCCTTGCCTCTCTCCTGGGCAGCACCTCTGTTTCCTGTATCTCATGCTGTCTTTCACGGGTCACTCTGGTTCTGGAGGAGTGGCACTCTGAGGAAGGATGTAGTTTGTTGGCAGTGGGTAGATTTGCAGTTGGAAGTCGGCCTCAGTGAGTAACTACAAGCGCTCTTCTGCCATTTTTCGGCCAGTGGTGCTGTGGAAATCCAAAGGCATTCTGATTTTGGAGCCTCTGTTTTTGCTGTAGTTTCTTCTGCTGCAGCATGCAGAATGTAATTTGTTGGCATGATGTTTCGAGATTTTTCTCATGGTATTCTTGGTGTGAGTCTGCTCTTATTGTTCAGCCGAGAAGCTCTTAAGATCTAAAAATCTTGAATTATTTTTTGCTCGTTTTCTTTTCCTCTGGCTTTTTCTGTCCTTCTGTCAGTACTTCTGACGCTGAGACTGGGGCCTCCTTGTGTTTCTTTCCTCTTCTGTGTCTGTCTACACTCTTTTGTTCCACTTCCGGCAGACTTCTTTTCCTTTGGCTTTTCCTCCTTTTGTAATAGTTGTCATTTCTACCATGTTTTTCATATCTAAGAGCTCTTTTGAGTTTTCAGACAAGACAGTCTCTTGTGTCTTTGGGTATGTTGACTTTTTGTTGTTTTGTTTTCCCTGCATAGTTCCTTTCTTTTAAGCTTTTCTTTTTTGTTTCCGTTTGCTCTGTTTAAATCTTTGAGGCTTTGGTAATCTGCTTATATATGTGCTGCTGAAGCAAGCACTGGTAATCTGCCGGTGTCTAGGGAGCGCTGGTAACTGCCCGTGTGTAGGGGGCGCTGGTAACTGCCCGTGTCTGGGGCTCTGTTCCCAGAGCTGAGTGACCTTGAGTGTTGTTGTTGGTTTATCTGAGCGCTGGTGGAGGTGCTGCGGTCAGTGTTGTTTTCTTGAGCTGGTCAGGTCTGTAGGAAAGAGTCTTCTGATCTCTAGCTAGTAGAGGTCTGTTTGCCACTGGGAAGAAGGCTGGCAGTGAGGAGGGCTCAGCGGTCTTGGCACTCTGAATGTGTATGTTCACTCATGCCCTTGTTTGGGAAGTACTCCTGACTGCTCTTCTGGAATCCCCCCTCTAGAAGCCCATTTTACTCTCTCCAGAGAGTAACCCTGATTTTTGGTGAGAAAAGAGCCATTGCCTGGGAGTGTACATTGGGAGAGGCCCTCCAGTGCTCAGTATGCCTCCCACAGTTTAACCCCGTCTGCTCGTTTGTTGTCCCCATCCGCTTGCCGCTCATCTGGGGCCTAGAAACTCTGGGTGCTATGAAATGTTCAGCATCTGAGCAGTCTGCGCTGACTTGTCACCTCAGCTGCCTAGGCTCCCTTCCCACGACTTACTCAGTCGCCATTTGCCTGTTGCTCTCCAGTTGCAAACACGTGTGGTGCCTCCCTTGTTCTCCTCTCTGTGGGTTCATATTTGAAAATAAACAAGTTTTTAGATGATGGGATTCGGGGAGTTGTTCAGTTGGGCATAGCTGTCCGACCTGCCTTACTTGCTTGGAGGCCGTCTCAGTCAGCTAACAGCTCCTCACGCTGAGGCCAGGCAGGCAGAGCATCTGGGTTTGGGAGAAAGCCTGACAGGAAGACAGACCAGCGTGAAGAGGAGAAAAGGGTACTAGAAACACTGCTGATAAGAAGAGCGGAGAAAGACACCGTGCTTGTGCCTAGATGGCACTGCAAAAGAGGACCATTCTGAGACTAAGGTGAAACTCTTGGAAATTAAAAATGACAGCCAGAGTAAACGTTTCAGCCACCGAATTGGAGATAGAACTGAGACTGTATGAGAAAGCTGAGCCAAAGGCTGGAAATGGGTGGTAGGAGAACAGATCCAGTGTGATCAGTGCAGAAGTCCAGCATGCAATTCAAGAAATTGTAGAAGACGTAAACACGTTCCGTGCAGCTGAAAGCTGTGCACCTCCAGAAGGGACTTACCTAACCCGTAGCTCCGTCAGTACAAAAAGTGCTAAGTCTCAGTATTGTCGATTTTCAGAATATCACAGAAATAAAGCTTTCAGGGATAGAAAACCAAAACACTTAATAAGGATCAGACATTAGGATGGTGTCAGCTTCTGAAACCTTTTTTAAAAATGAGAAAAAAATGTTTTCAACTTAGAATTCCGTATCCAGCCAAGCTACCTGACAGGTATGTGATACTTTCAGGTAGGCAAGGACCAGATGTATCCCAAGGTAGCCACAGGCATGTGTTGTACCGAAATGAGGGTAAAAGCTTGGAGGAAGAAGACACAGCGTTCGGGAAGCTGGGGACCTGGGTCAGGATCACAGGCGAGGAAGTGTCGGGATGACAGCAGCACAACAGCCTGTGGCCTGGGAAGCCCAGACTCCAGGAGGAGAGGGGCGAAGACTAAGACTGGAAGGTTTCTGCATTTCTTTATATGAAAGTTGTATTAGCCATTGTTACAGAGCTGCTAAAATAAGCTTAGGAAGAATTAGCAATACACAGAAAGCTGGGAAAAAGACAGACAAATAAAACTCCTGGACAAACCCAGCGAGAGGAAATGTTACTGCTCTGGCTCAGCCATGAGTAGCACCTGCATAGTCTGGGTAATGGTTGAAATTGATTTGAAAGTAACAACAATAGGGATTCACTTCTGAGAGCATTGTGTAGAGGGAAGAGTACGCTTGAGCGGGTGTTCGTATTTTAAATGTTCTGTGCGTTGTTAGGGCCTTTGTGGAACATTTGGCAAATACTAAAGAGATGAAAGAAGCAAATGAATATTGCCCCTGATTCCCGGCCCTTTTCTGGTTTGAACACTGAGGAGTGAACCCAGGGCCTTGCCAAGCAAGAGTCCTGACACTGAGCCATAGTGCCCCAGCCTCCCATTTGTTTCAGTTGGAATACTTAATGCTGTCAGATCTATTTGTGAGCACATCTCTAGGGAGTTTAAATTTATGATTGTACTCTAAGCACTTTACATCTTTTCATATTTTTAAATTATATTATTTTTTAAATCACCATTGTTAGTACAGCTTGTAATTTACAGAGAATAACACTAATCAGTTTTACAAACGTTATAGTCACAATAAAGAACATGTCCGTGGCCCCAGAGGTTCCTTTCTCCCCTTCCTCTGTGTTTGTCAGCACTGATGTGTTGAAAGCCTACTTTCGCAGTGGCATGCTAACACTGCTGCTGGAGAGGGTATTCCTCTGTCTTTGTCCTTCGGCTTGTTTCCTGCCTCTGTCACAGCTGTACTGTCCTGCAGGGCAGAACGTCATGATGTATGTCTTTCTGAGGAATAAATTACTGGAATAGAGCTGTGGTTCATACAGCAGAAGTCTCTGGGAAGTTCTTTAAATGATCTGTAGCCTGTGTGTTTCAGCACTAGCTCTGGTCTAAGAGTGGATTAGAAGAACCCTGAGGCTTTGACAGGGACCTAAGCTTCATCTGCCTCGTGCTTTCCAGTGCTCCCTGTGCCTCAATCACCTTGGTTCCAAGGAGATTTTCCCTCAGTGTCTGCTCCACAGTTTGTTACATTGAGGCTGTGCCCAGTCTTTATTGATGAACATTTTCTTTCAAATTAGTTTCTGTTAACTTGATCCAACCATTTAAGTAGGGAAAGTAGGGCCAGGGGTATAGCTCAGCGGCACAGTGCCTGCCTGGCAAACTGCCTGAGTTTGATTCCCAGTACCAAAAAAAAAAGTAGAGAAAGTATAGATTTGCAGGGTGAATGGCCAATTCTTTATTACTAGCACTGGGGTGGCAATGCTTTTACCTTGGGCCTTGCAGCTCTCGGCCCCAGGGCTGGCCCTGAGTCAGCCCTCTTAAGTGTGAGATGTGATTAAGTGGGTTTCCATTTGCTTTTCTTGACTTCCATTGCCTTTTCCAGGTGGAAGAAGTTAGAAACTCACGATGTTGTCATAGAGTGTGCCAAAATCTCTCTGGACCCTACCGAAGCCTCGTATGAAGATGGCTACTCTGTGTCTCAGCCGCTCTGCACCCGCTTCCCTCACCGTCCCGCAGACATCACCACAAGCCCTTATGTAGACACGCAGAATAGCTATGGTAAAAAGTGACTTTGGTTCTCAGCGCTCTTGCAACTTCGTCTCTGGAAAACATTGCTTATCTTTGTTTCCTAGAGCAGGGCTTAGTTTACTTCCTAGCAACTTTCCCCCAAATATTTTTTTATTTTTTTTGGTTTTTTTTTTCCGGTACCAGGAATTGAACTCATGACCTTGCACTTGCCAGGCAGGCGCTGTGCTGCTGAGCTAAATCCCCAGCCCCGTCCCCCAAATACTTTAAATTTGAATTTGCCTCCATTTTCTTCTGATGATTTTCTCCTTCAAGTTTAATTGTCCTTGATCTCCAGCCAGATCATGTGTGCACTGACTTGGCCATGCATTCTTGGTGTTTCACAAAGAAATGCGAGGCCCCGTGTCTAAGGAAATCTGTACTTTCAGGCATGTAGTGAGAGGCCTGCTGGGCTTAAAGAGTTTAGAGCTGGATTCATATTGGAATCTAGGCTTTCTCTGTAGGCTGTACCTGCTGACTGTCACCAGGTGCCCCTTCAGGTTATCAATATCAGACCTCCCTGAACTTCCTCTGCCAAAGAGCATTCAAAAAACCTTTTCTAGATGTTACTGCCTTAGACCCCAGGGCAGAGGGATACTCCTCAAACTTTAAAAACACAGATAATCGCGTGTTATAGGATGATCTAGAGGACTGTCGCTTTGTACCAGAACAATCTGAAACCCTATTCTGACCCCCTCTGCTCTTCCCTTTTCTTCCAGGGAATGCTACTTCCACCCCTTACTCCACCTCCCGGCCGATGCTCTTCAGTACGCCAGGGCAGCTAGCTCATTCTTTGAGTTTCCCATCGACACGGCCGTTACCTGAGCCGCCACAAGTATGGTGTCAAACAGTGTGCCTGTTTCCGCTCTGCCTCCTGGTGAAGCTGGGTCAGGATTCAGTGTGTGGTTGGGAGTGTTGCGCACTGCACATTTCAAGAGGCCCTGTTAAGGATAATTATCCCGAGAGAGAAATTTACTGTCGCCACATGGGCCATCTTGGGAGTCTAGATATACAAAATACAACTTGTCTTTTAATAAAGCTTTAACAAGATGCTTTTTTCCAGTTGAAAAGGTTAAATTTAAACAATATTAGATCTATACCTTGTGGAGAAAAACAGTATTAATTTGCCATTGCTGATGGGTTTTTTTTTTTTGTTTTCCTTCGGTACCGGGAACCGAACTCACGACCTTACGCTTGCCAGGCAGGCGCTTTGCCGCTGAGCTAAATCCCCAGCCCCGCTGATGGGTTTTATTTACTTCGCAGGCTACTCTTTGGAGCCCGTCTGTGGTTTGTGGTATGACCACTCCCCCAACATCTCCTGGAAATGTCCTACCTGATTTGTCACACCCATATAGTAAAGTCTTTGGCACAACTGGTATGTACGTCTTAGATGTAATGGTTGATTTTGCCTGCATTTCACAATAGAAGGAACTGTCTTTTAGATACCATAGTGAGTTTGGCGGCACTTGCATTACTGAATATTTTTTGACACTTAATGCAAACTTTTGGGGTTTTCAGAATGAGTAAAGTTGAACCTAGGGAAAAAAAAAGAGAGAGAGCTAAGTTCCCAGGATATTAACTCTGAAGCCTTATTTACAGTAATAGACCGAGAAAAGAACTGGCACTTTTTCTGATAGCTGTGCTCAGTTGATCTAGTATTTTACCCTCGTCTGAGCAGGTGGAAAAGGAACTCCCCTGGGAACCCCCGCAACCTCTCCTCCTCCAGCCCCACTCTGCCACTCGGATGACTACATGCACATCTCGCTCCCCCAGGTCGCAGCCACACACCCCCGGAAGGTGAGTCCCAGCTTGTCCGCTGTCCCTCTGCCTAAGCACAGTGACTTGCAAGCCTCACTTTGTGAACCCTAATTATGCCAGGTAGACTCCAACCCAAAGGTGATGGGTGTGAATCAGAGTGGTTTCGATAGCCTGATAGGCATGTGCAAGGGATGTTTGGGCCTCCCTTGGGGTCTTGAAACCCATGCAGGCGTCCATTAAGTCACACTTACCTTTACTATAAGCTGCTGTTGGCCCACTGCATTGGCATTTTCTCTGCTGCTGCAAAAACCTTGGTAGATGGCCGAGAGGTAGCCCCATTACACAGATCTACAGGTACCACACCATCCTGCTAGATACTGCATTCTCCCTTAAAAAGAGGAAAGAGCTGGGTATGGTGGCACTGTGCCAATAATCCCAGCCTAGGGAGGCAGTGGCAGGAGGATCACAAATTTGAGGCCAGCCTGGACTACCTAGTGGACCCTGTCTCAAAATAAATACATACAAACAAACAGGAAAGTAAAAAGTATGTATGCTAAATTAAGCAGTAGAGATTATTAATTTTATTAAATCTGGGCCCTTGAGAACATGGACATCTGATATTCTTTGTGACAAAATAGGAAACGTGTAAATAATGTTTATTGCATACCGAAGAATGGTGGTAGCTTCAGGCCCTTACGTAATTATTTGAATTGGAACTGAACTAGTTCCTTCTTTCATGGAACCCTAATTTTATTTGAAAGAAGAGGTAACTGACAAACTTGGGCATTTGCTAGGCACCTTCATTGTTTTGTTTTATTTTTTGGAAGAGGGGGAAAGTCTCCATGTAGCTCAGGCCGGCCTTGAATTCACTATTGTAGCCTAGGCTGGTCTCAAACTTTCAGCGATCCTCCTGCCTCGGCCTCCTGGGTGCTGGGATGACAGGCATGTGCCACCAGGCCCAGTTGCAGGTAGTTTCTTAAATAATGAATCACATGTCACTTCAGCATAAATAACTGACAGAATTTATTGCTGATAAAATTCAACTTTCAGATGAAAATTAGAAAATTAAGTCTTAATCTGCTACCCTGAGCTTGGTAGCTTTTATGATAAGATTGAGGTCCTCCTTCCCTCCCTCCCTCCTTCCTTCCTTCCTTCGCTGCTTCTTTCCTTCCTTCCTTCTCTTCTTCCTTCCTTCCTTTCTTTTTTTTTTCTTTCTTTCAAGGTTGAAGTCTTGGGAAGGAATAATTTTGATTTTTTTAAACATACAATGAAATGTTTCCACATTCAGGAAAACTAAATAACTTGTTGAACCAGTATTCTCTAAGTGTCCAGTGTATGACATTACAGAATCATGCCTAGATCAGAACTGCATTCAGGGTATAAAGTAGGCCAGTAAATTTTAACACAGCATGAAAAGTTATTTCATACAGTTTCAGATTCCATATTGTAACTAACTTTTAGGTAACTACCACTTGTCAGGTTTGGGTGTAGTATCAAAGATACAGTAATTATTTACAAGTGTATAGGAGGTCTGCGGACATGTTAACCTCAGAAGCACGTGTCTCTGGGGACCCGGGGTTTTCCACATCAGCCATCCTAACTACTGCAGCAGATCGAATGTAGGAACAGCTAGGAGAATCCAGCTGTCTTCATTAAGGCAGGTGGTAAAGAGTTCCCAAAAATGTGAAACAGTTTCACACTTCACTCTAGATTTATTACTTTTTGAAAAATATTTTTTCTATAAAAATGTTGTATGGATTAACAGGCAATACATTCGTTATTTTTAAGTCAATAAATATTTTAAAATATTTTTCAACTTCTAATACCGTAACAATTGACAGAGTTAACCACATAAACAGAGACTCTTGGGATTCTTAACATTTTTAAGTCTATAAAGGCAGTCTGAGAAGCACGGGACTTTTTCTAACAGTCTTTACAACGTGCTGGAGAAGGTGTGGAGCATGTTTCACTGTGTAATATAAACGACACTTGTCTTTTCAGGAAGAGAGAACAGAATCTACACGGCCATGTCTCCACAGACAACCCCATCTTCCGAATGACAGAGGATTAGGTAAAATCTCTGGGTAACATAGATCTTGATTGTCTCTTCACATTGGATTATATGTGTCCAAAGCAGAGTTAGGTGGTGCACACCTATAGTCTAAGGTTCTCAGGAGGCTGAGGCAAGACGCTTTCCTTAAGTAGGAGGATGTCTTGAGTTCAGGACCAGTGTGCAGTACAGTTAATACCCTGTCTCAGAAAGGGTAAAAACAAGGACACTGGAATACCACAGACCACTGATGTGTAGGGTTAGAAGCAAGAGAAATAAGTACTAGATTCTAAAGGTTAAACTAGTAATAACATCAAAAAAGTGTTTGAGATAGCTGGGTGTAGTGGTAGACACCTGTCATCTCAGCACCCTGGGAAGCTGAGGCAGGAAGACTGGAGGTTTGAGCCCAACCTGGGAGACTTAGCAAAATGCTATTTCAAAGTAAAAAAAAAAACTTCTTATGATGAATGTTGTCATTATGTACATTTAAAATTTACCAATAAAATAAAAAGTAAAACAAAAACCACCGAAGTTTTTTAAAAGGCTGGAAATACAGCTCAGTACAAAAGCCCTGGGCTCAATCCACATTACTACCATCCAAAACAAAAAAGAAGAAAAAACTCTTAAGCTGTTGCCCTCAAGTACCTCTTAAGTGTTTTAAGCAGGTAAACTACATGGTTTTATCTGTTCTTGAAGGCTGAGGCCTGGGAATTTTATTTTGTGTGGGTTATTTTTGGTAGCTTCAATGAGGTGATTTGTAATAGTTCGGCCTTCTGTAGTCGGCTCGGAGAGAGTCGTCCCCAGCCTCTGTCCAGTGGGAAGAATGATTGCAGCCGTTCTGTGTTACGCTCTAAGCCCTGTGCAGCTGCAGGGACCCGCCGGTGCGTCTCTGACCCGACTTCTCTCTGCTTCTCTTCAGAAGAGCTGGCCAGCACCAAAGGCTCCGTCACTCTGAGTGATCTCCCGGGGTTTCTAGGCAATCTGGCCTTGGAGGAAGACAGCATTGAAAAAGATAAGGAGGAAGGTGATGTATGTGGGATTCCTGTGAGACAGTGCGGCATGACCTCATTCTGTCCCAGAACTGAGATCTGGAGCCAGCTCAAAGGCTGACTTGGTTTTTCTTCTGCTGGGTAAACGGCAGGTGTTTAACAGGACCTGTGCTGGGTACAGGGATGCCCCAGGTACTCGGCACAGCTTAGGCCCTGCTGAGCATCCACTGATGCTTCCTTGTTTCCTGCTCTCCTTCCAGCTGCAATATCTAAAGAGCTTTCTGAGATCACTACCGCAGAGGCTGAGCCTGTGGTTCCTCGAGGGGGCTTTGACTCCCCCTTCTACCGAGACAGTCTCTCAGGTTCTCAGCGGAAGACACACTCGGCTGCCTCTGGGACCCAGGGCTCCAGCGCGAACCCTGAACCTTTACACTCCTCCCTGGACAAGCTTGGGCCCGACACACCAAAGCAAGCCTTTACTCCTATAGACCTACCCTGTGGCAGAGCTGACACCAGCCTTGCTGGGGACAGGGACCGCCAGACTTCCTTGGAGACCAACATCCTCACTCCCAGCCCTTGCAAAATTCCACCTCGGACGGGAGTGGACTTTGGAAGTGGGAAGCCTCCCCCGTATGACCATCTCTTTGAGGTGGCCTTGCCAAAGACTGCCTGTCACTTTGTCAGCAAGAAGACTGAGGAGCTGTTAAAGAAAGCAAAAGGAAACCCGGAGGAAGACTCCACACCCTCTACCTCCCCAGTGGAAGTACTGGATAGACTGATACAGCAGGGAGCAGACGCACACAGCAAGGAGCTTAGCAAGTAAGCCGGCCGTGTCCCCATGCGGGCCCTCCCAGTTCACTGGAAAGCACGCCCCACCTGAGGCTGGGAGCCCGACTCCCTCGTCCTGCTTGGCCCGGAGCGCGGTGCCCTTGTGTCACCAGACGTGCTGCCAGTGTGCTGCTTGCCCTGCGCAGGAGCGTGGCTTGTGCCGGGATGGCTCCAAGAGTGTCTGCCATGAAAGGACCTTTGCGGTGTAGACAGTTCCGTGTGCCACTGTCCTGTGAGGATGGAGAGTGAAAATGAGCACCTGCAGTTGCTCAGTAGAGCAGGGTTTGTGGTAGTGCTTGCCCCTCTAATTGCAGACTGTTCTATTAGATTTTGGTAATGTGGCTCACTGGGTAAAGAGCAGGTCACCAGCATTGTATGCAAGTTCAAATGGCCAAGTGGCCCCCTCCCACACAGGGTTCTTAGAAACCTGAGACACCAGTCACTCCTTCTTTTGGTACCCGTTTCCAGAGGGCTCTGGTTTGGGTCCTGTGCTATTTCTACATCAGTTCTTGGAGAAATGGTACTTTTTGTGTGTCTCCTATATACTATCTATCCCAAGGTGGAATCCAACAGGAATTATAAAATTTAAACTTCTCTTATTTTGGTGTTTTGAGACAAGGTCTTGCTATGTAGTTCAGGCTAGTCTTGAACTGACTGTGTAGCACAGGCTGGCTCAAATTTGTGTCAATCCTCCTGCCTCAGCCTTCTGAGTGGTAGGATTACAGACATGAGTCACCATGCCCAGCTAACCTCCCTCTTTTTAAATTAGATTTGGTATAATGGGTTAAAATAAGTGAACTGCTTTTTCTTAAATGTGGGTGAGAGTAGCTTCTCAAAGGAGAGCTCTCCCTGTGTATCCCATGGAGAGCAGGGAAGCAGCTCCTCGTCCTTGGAGAACTGACCTCAAGGCGCAGGCCACACTGAGGTAGGGGGTCGCACAGTAGGGCTGCTCCTCTTTGGATATCTGGCCATATGCAGTGGACTGCCTGCCCATTCAGTCCACTCAGGCCACACGTCCAATTCCATGTGCTCTCGGAGTTTCACATTTTCTTAGACCCTTGCGGATTCCAAGCACAAGTAAGTGACCTAACCTTGCTGCAGTTAAACGTCCAGATGAGTTTTTTCTAGATCAGATCAATAACTTCATTGTCCGAAACTTTACTTCTAGGTTGTCCTTACCCAGCAAGTCTGTCGACTGGACCCACTTTGGAGGTAAAGTTGTTACTTTGGCACCACATCCAGCCCCAGAGGTTCCTGCGTGCTTGTCCTTTTCTCTCCTTGAAGGAGGTGCCCTGTGGGAAACATCTCCCTTGGCCTGCCTCCAGCCAGCTTATCTGGTTGGCAAGGGGATCTCGAGTGTTGCGAAGTCAGCATTTCCTATTTTTGAAACATGCAAAGTACCACATGTTTGGAATAGAAGTGCAGCCTTCGTGCCAGGCCCCCCTAGAAAAGACCCAAGTTCTGTGAGTGTACTGAGAAGCTCCCTGGGGAAGAATGTAGCAGTTTGGGAGCAGCCAGAGGAGAGCCAGGGAATAGGGTGTGCGTGGGATCAGGTTTGTGGGGAGGGAGAATGGCTGTCAGAGTGCCCTCCTCACTGGCCCTTTAAATGGAGGCAGCTGGTACACGTCTCCTCCCTCCGAACAGTGGCTGCTGCTGGGACCCAGGTGGTCACCTGCAGAGTGGTTTGTGTCTGAAAGAACTGTGTTCCTTAGACCATTACAGGAGGGGGCTTCGTGGAGCCACGGGTAAAAGACATTTTTGCCATCTCCCTCTGCTTTCAAATCAGGCTCTCCTCCCTCGGATGAGATCCGCACCCTCCGAGACCAGTTGCTTTTACTGCACAACCAGTTACTGTATGAGCGCTTTAAGAGGCAGCAGCATGCTCTTCGGAACAGGCGGCTCCTCCGCAAGGTGATCAGGGCCGCGGCTCTGGAGGAGCACAATGCCGCTATGGTGAGGACATGGGCACACTGGCCTTGGTGTTCGTTTTGCTTTGTGTCAGCACGGAAGCTTGTAAAGAACAGCTGCCAAGTGAGGTCAGAGTTCTCGGTTCCAGCCCTGCTTGCTGGGGTGGCTGGGCCAGGCCACTTAGCCTGAGGTATAGCTGCAGATGGCTGGACCACAGAATTCCCTAGAAGCTCCCAGAAGCCGTGGGGACAAGGGACTTTTTCTGTTTGTTTGCTTGTAATTGGCTCTGATGACGAAAGGATTGAAAGGTAATTTTATTTCCTCAGATGTACAACCAGTTCCCCTAAAGCTATTTCATGTCATAGAATTGAAGTCTGTACCGTACTGCAGGAATAAAGCCAATGAGATTGGAAGTCAGAGTAGTAGCTTTACCAGTTATCTTAGAGAAAAAATTTGGCCTCTTGAAACCTTGTTACCAGTTCTATAAAGTGAACAATTGTAATAGCAGGACTGAGAAATCATGATAGTAGCACCTACTTTTTAAGTTCTGACACTTAAAAGAAATGACACCAGTAAGTACTTCTCTGTCCCTTGCATGGTACAAGTGTCCAGTAAATGTTCAGTGTTTTAGTGAACTTTATCAGGACCCTGTATTAGAAATCTTACTCTAGTGGTGGTGATTGAGACTTCTAAAAGCATAGGAAACAACTTGATCCCTGAGAAAAGCTCTTTACACAGTTTCAGTCCATTTGCTACTATGAAATTGGGCAAACCTTGACCGAAAGCCCAGTAAGACAGTCGTAAGATGTCAGCCTCTGGGGCTGTAGTTGCAGTTCTAGGTAGCAGGTAACTGTGGAGCAGGTTTATGGCTCACTGCCCATGTCGAAGGGCGGCTACAATAATGGCATCTCTGGTCTCTGTTAGAAAGATCAGCTGAAGTTACAAGAAAAAGACATACAGATATGGAAGATGAGTCTACAGAAAGAACAAGCCAGGTACAGTCAGCTGCAGGAGCAGCGTGACACCATGGTGACCCATCTCCACAGCCAGATCAGACAGCTGCAGCATGACCGAGAGGAGTTCTACAATCAGAGCCAGGAGTTACAGGTACAGACGGCAGGCCAGGCCCCGCCAGCAGAGAAGGCCTGTGAGCCACCGCAGGGTGGCAGGACTGCTTCTTAAATGTTGTCCCTTGGTCAGCTCACCTAAGACGAACACTTCACTCTCTGAGATCACAGCAGATAGATTTCAGGCACCTACCTCTCACTGAGGGCAGAAATTCCCCAGCTGTCTTAGTTCATAGCTGTCTTATATGCATTCACTGTGGAACCCGAAGAAACCCGTGACAATCCCACTCAGGAGGGAGGTCTAAATTCAGTGACTGTTAGTACAGTTTAATAGCTGTTTGAAAATAACATATATATATATATATATATATATATACACACTTAAATTTTTAAAAAATTTCTAGTAGCTGCAGTTACTAAAGCCATGAGTACTTGGTGGCACCACGACACAAATCTCAGCCTTGAAGTCAGAGTGGACAGTGACACCCTCATTTCCTGTTTCGTGCTGGTTTCTCATGGTCCTTTTGTACACAGCAGCCACCCAAAGCTCAGCTTTGCAGAGATAAGGCTTCATCCAGGCACAAGGCATGATCTAGAGCTGGGCCGTCAGCTGCCTCTAGCTAATTAGCAGTTCACATTATGTCCCATAGATGTCACTGTGTATCCCTCAAAAACATAAACCATCTCCACAGCGTCCCTGTGCATTTGCTTATAGTCCCAGGGCTCTTCAGCGTGCAGATTGGGAACTAAGGTCTTTTTCTTTTTTTCTAATTAAATAGTAAGTGACTTAGAAATCTACTGCAGCTTACTTTTTAAGACAAGTCAAATGCTGGTGACCCAGAATGGGAGAGTAGTTGAGGAGCTGGGCACTCCCAGTTCGGCGTGGGCTGGAGGCCGGGCGGGCTGGCGGTGCTGCCCTCGCTTCATGACCACATCTGTTTGTGCAGACAAAGCTGGAAGACTGCAGGAACATGATTGCGGAGCTTCGGGTGGAGCTGAAGAAGGCCAACAACAAGGTGTGCCACACGGAGCTGCTGCTCAGTCAGGTCTCTCAGAAGGTGAGCAGGGAGGGGCCGCTACCCTCACTGTCCCTCGGATGGGACGGCATATCACTGGAGCCGGGGGTCGGGTCCCAGCAGGGAGAAAGCCTGCCCACCTCGTCCTCAGAAGACATTTGGCAGTGTCAGATGTTTTTGGTGCTACCGGCAATTCGTGGCTAGGGGCCAGGATGGTGCAGAATATGCTCTAGTGTGTAGACTGCACCCCAGCACGGGGGTGGGCCGCAGGCCATGCATATCCCATGGAGCCCTTTCTCAGTACTTTGTGTGCATAAAAGTGAAAGTGTGCTAAGGTTTTTGAGCTGTGAGCCTCTCTTTTGGTATTGAGTGAACCTGCTGTGTACCATTTACTCAGCAACAGGTGAGTTTCTCTGGGGCTTCATCATGGACCTGACGTCCCTGCCGTGGTAGCCTTGTACCTGTCCATCTGCTATAGGTGTCCTGTGGTGGTCACCTTGACGTGGTCCATTTGTGCCGCTTCCCCTTTGCACAGCAGTTTTGAAGCCCATTTCTGCCCATTTCTGTTGTGCTTTGGGTGCCATCCTCCCTACCAACTACAATGGGGGCGGTTGGAAACCATGAGAGTTGCTTATTCTGCCCTAGTGTTGCCCTCCTGTGGTCCTGGCGGTTTCCTGTCTAACGCTCATCTCTAGTTTTGTGGAGTCAGACTTTTCACAGTCTGTGTATTTCGGTCAGCTCTCCAACAGTGAGTCAGTCCAGCAGCAGATGGAGTTCTTGAACAGGCAGCTGTTGGTGCTTGGGGAGGTCAACGAGCTGTATTTGGAGCAACTGCAGAACAAGCACTCAGACACTACCAAGGTATGTGGCACTTCGGAGGACAAGTTACAGACCCAGGTAGTGGGTCACATAGACCAGCTTTTGTGAGTTGTTCCTCAGAGATGGGGCCGTGTCCAGCACTCCTCTCCCTGGGCCTGCATAGGCACTGTCCAACTGTTGTGAGAGTGTGTATCCCCTTGCCAGGTGGCTCTGAAACAGAGTCAGATGTAAATAAACACCTGGTGGGATTGTTGAGGGATGATGTTTCTCTCTCTTCCTGTAGAAAGAGAAACATTCTGCTCAGGACCGTGGTTATGTCTTGGTCTGTACTGTGTATGTATCATTTTCTGAAAATTTTGAATCTAATTTCTGCTGATGGTCGTTCAGTCCTGGCAACAGGATGATCTTACGTTAATTAGTGCTTCACCGGTGGTGTCAGGACAGAAGTTCCAGTCACTTTATAAATAGCCTCGGGTAATGTTGGAGAACAAGTTTGGACTAGAATTTCAGTAGGAAATGCTTAGATGCTTTCTGTCACAGCTTCTTCATCACACACAGCCCTCTCTCCAGGATTTCTTCGGCTTATGCTTTGTAAAGTGTCTTTTGGACATGTAGACACCAAAAAATACCTTTTTTGGACTTGGCTCTCAGACGTCTCCTAGAGGGATCTAACATGTGCAACTTCGTAGACACTGGCAGTCATTGTGAAGGTAGAGTTGCTTTGGGTGAAGGAAGATGGGAAGCAGACCCAGGAGACCTCTGAAAGAGCTTGTGTGGGATGCTGCTGACGCTTCCCAGGAGAAGCAGAGATGGGAAGGCTCCTGTGGGCTGCTGTTGGGCATCCTTGGATGCTTTGGGACCCTGAGCAGCCACCTGCCCACTTTGGGACCTGTTTCATAATAAAACAAGGGTGGGGCTGCTGGCTCGTATTAGGGTGCCTTCACTTGTAGGCCACGTGAAGAACACAAGCCAAAATGGCTCACAATAAGGAATTTTACTGTTTCACTTGACAGGAAGTCCCGAGGCAGGCGAGTTCCAGGTTGTTCAGGTTGGCATTTGGGGACAGTACCAGGGAGCCAAACTCTTCGACTCTTCTGTACCGCCCTGCCCATCCTGTCAGCTTTGTCTCCAGGCCAGCTGTTTCCATGCTGTTAGGTAGCGCCCGAGATAAACTGTTCTGGGCGGATACCTGGTGTCTTGAAGAGGAGAGCGTCTCTTCTGGGTCTCGCTCAGCAGGGAGGCCTTTCCCAGAATCCTCTACATACTTTACATGTCTCTCGTTGGCCAGGATTGAGTTATGTGCTCATTAGTATCCATCTTCACCTGAAGCCAGCTAGGCTTTGCTGCGGTGCCTGTGCTAGGGTTGGTCTTGTTCAGGCCAGCAGAGGAGGGGTAGGTGTCTGAGAATCAGGCAGGATGGCCAGTTGGCTGGTGAGGTTATTGTGAACTCATGGACCTTCCTGATGCAGTTCCTTGGATGACTAGCCATAAAAGAAACACATAAAGAAAACACATAAAGAAACAAATAAATCCCACAGCTCCACTGTGTCCCTTACGTAGAATGGCATAGTACTTGCTTATTATGACCCACACATATCCTGTGCACTTTGATCATGTCTAGATTACTTAATAGCTACTGAATGTGCTAGGAAATAGCTGTCATGCTGTATCGTTGAAGAAGAGTGACGAGAAAGTCTGTGAATCAGTAGAGACTGTTTACTTTTGACCATTTTTCATCTGTAGTTGGCTAACACCATGCATGTGGAGGGCTGCCTGCTGTTGCTTGTGACCCACGTCAGACATGTTGTCCTCACCTGTGCTGATGTCGGCGCTGCTTAACACGGCCGGAATGGCCACACAGTCTCACGGTGGCCGGAGCTTCAATCCGTTGCAGTCTGTACCCTTGAAACTTGTGTTTAGTGGTCAGTTTTAAGGCCAGGAGCCTTCATGAAAGTTCACCGCCTTGCACTTTGTGGTTTGCTACCTTTTTAAAACAGCAAACATATGGCTATGAATTTTATGTTATATACATTTTACCGTAGAAATCACGCATATGTAACACTTGTTAGAAAATTACCCTATCCACCCATTTTCTGCACATTAGTGTACACCTGTCCTGAGTTTCAAGCTGCAGGGAGGCCGTCCACCTGGGCGTGATTGACAGATCTCATAAGGGGATCCAGCCTGCACACGCTGCTTCTGCAGATCTGCTCCATTCCTGTTGCCTTCTCTAGCTCTGCCTCAGCTGCTGTTAGGAGAGCAGGAAAAATAAAGTAGCAAATAACCCACAGTGCCACTATTGTATCTGTGAACATGGGCGCATATCACTAGGTATGTTGGAATGTGTTTGCATGGTTGAGTGTTATGTAGTCTGCTTTTGTAACTTTTACCAGTGCCATCTCCTTTCTAACAGCTTACAGATATAAAATGTACTTCATATAATTGTTTCCCTGACAAGGTGTTTCCAGTTCTTAGCTTGTCTTTGTTACTCTTCTCTGATTGCTAAGACAAAACACCCCACACCCAGAATTAAGGAAGGAAAAGTTTATTTAGCTCACAGTTTGTACAAGTTTCAGTCTGTAATCAGCTGGCTCCAAGGCAGGGTGGCATGGCACAGGGGCAACATTTCAAGGTGGCAAAAGACAGCAAAAGCAACAATAGCAAAAGGAGAGGTGAAGCAAGCCTTTTTCTTCCTTATATTGTATGCAGGCTACTCCCCCTCAGGTGGATGTAGCACTCACACTATCTCCCTGCCCTCCCCTTGCACAGGTTCAGGATGTTTACAAATGGAGAACCCTGACCACACCCGTCACTTAGTTAAGCTTCTAAACTTTTCAGTTCTCAAGTTGACACAATGTGTCAGCCATTACATGGCTCTTGCAAATACACTGAGGGTTATTTTTGTACAAAGTGTCTACTCACTGTTCAGGTTATTTCCTTCGGGTTAACCTTCAGGGAAGTTTCTAGGTTAATACCTAACCAGGTTACTCTCCAGAAAGTTGTACTTGCTTGTATTTCTACTGCTGGGATACTAATGTGCCCTCTTAAAGCTTAGGACATCTTTTCAAAGTGGATATGTGTGTTCGTTTTCTGTAAGTACTAACTGCAATCTCTTAGGAAGTGGAAATGATGAAAGCTGCTTATCGGAAAGAACTAGAAAAAAACAGAAGCCACGTTCTCCAGCAGAATCAGAGGCTTGATACCTCCCAGAAACGGATTTTGGAACTGGAATCTCATCTGGCTAAAAAAGACCACCTTCTTCTGGAACAGAAGAAGTACTTGGAGGATGTCAAGGCCCAGGCAAGGTAACTTTCACAGGAAAGGTTTGGGCAGTGAGGGGCTCCACTAAGTGGGGCTTCCCATCTTCTGGGTGGCTCTGTGTCTTTCAGAGGACAGCTGCAGGCAGCGGAGAGCAGGTATGAGGCTCAGAAAAGGATCACTCAAGTGTTTGAGTTGGAGATCTTAGACTTGTACAGCAAGTTGGAGAAAGACGGCCTCCTGCAAAAGCTCCAAGAGGAAAAAGCAGAAGCAGCAGAAGCCGCAGAAGAAAGGTAAGGGCCAGGAGCTGTACCTGGCCCGATGATGAAGCTGCTAGTAGCAGAGCTGGGAGTGTGTGGCATGACATTGGAAGTGGCAGTTGCGGCCTGTCAGGGCCTTAGCGTGCTCTTTCAGAGAACTACCCTGACTCTCCTTTCCTCTCGGTATCCAGTGGTCCTCCCACCTCCACTTCTGGCTTGTGTTGTACGGCCTGCCATTCACACTACAGATCGCCATCCAGGATTCCCCATTGTAACTGAGGTCTCTCTGTGCCTCTTGCTTGGCTTTGATGTTACACAGCAGAGCAGGCCAGTGGAGTTCAGGTTCAGTGGGAGTGAGTACCCGTCTAATTCCACATGTTTCACACATGGATGTCAGAGTCACCAACTCCTTTTTCCTCCTGATTTTTTGTAGGCTTGACTGTTGTAACGATGGCTGCTTGGATTCCACGGAAGGGCACAATGAAGAGGCATCTGGGCACAATGGTGAGACCAAGACCCCCAGGCCTGGCGGCACGCGGGGGAGTAGTGGAGGCCGAGGAGCCGCAGGCGGTGGCAGCAGCAACAGCAGCAGCGAGCTGTCCACCCCGGAGAAACCCCCAAGCCAGAGGGCAGGCCCCTTCAGTCGGAGGGAAGCCACCATGGGTGAGCCCAGCCCTGGCATCCCAACCGTCGGTTCACTGCCCAGTTCAAAAAGCTTTCTGGGCATGAGGGCCCGAGAGTTGTTTCGAAACAAGAGTGAGAGCCAGTGTGATGAGGACGGCACCGCCACCTGCAGTCTCTCTGAGAGCCTAAAGACGGAGCTGGGCAAAGACTCGGGTGTGGAAGCCAAGACTTCTCTGAACCTAGACGGCCCACACCCTTCCCCCCCGAGTCTGGACAGTGTTGGACAGCTTCGTATCATGGACTACAATGAGGCTCACCACGAACACAGCTAAGGGGGAGATCAGTCAGTGTTAACGCGCGTCTTGTTGGCATAGAACAGGAGGTGTGAGTGCGTGTTCAAGGCGTTCCCGTCTCCAGAGTTTGAGTGGTTATTCACGCATGGAAGTGGGAGAGAGGTCTTTTGACATCTGACCGAATGTGGAACGGTTTTCAGATCTGGCATTGAAATGCCTCTTCACCTTCCCCTCACCCTTGCCCCTAAACCTCTCATTTACCTATCAGTGTGTAATAATCGAGGGCCAGTTGGTGTTCCTCAGTAGCTTTATTTTCTTCCTTCTCCCCAAAATGGTTGCGTCCTTTGAACCTGTGCAATATGAGGCCAAATTCCACCTTGGAGTCTGACACCACTCTGCTTTCCTGAAGCTCAGGTCGCTGGGCAGTTCTCGGTTAGACCAGGCGGTTGGTAGCATTGCAGGTAAGTCCGGTCTGTCCCTTGAGTGAGGGTATAGCCTGCAGAGCTGATTGTCTTTACACGAAAGTATCTGTGGGAGACTTTCCCATGTTTTTTGGTCCTGAAGTTCAGCATCTGCAGCAGCGGATCTAGAAAATAATGGTTCATTCATTCTTCCGTTCCTTTGGCGGTTCTGATACGCTTGGAGGGTGTTGTGTGTGAACGAGCACCTGCTGTTTCACAAGTGCACTGGCACTGTGGAGGCCACACTTCCTCGTCCTTTGGGAAAGCTCTTGTCCCTCCTTCCCCCACTACCTCTTATTTATTTGGTGTTTGCTTGAATGCTGGTACCATGCTGAGCCCAGGCAGGTGCGGGGGCAGCAAGCTTGTGCCCCCAGGTGGCAGGAAGGTCACTTGGAGGGGTACCAGGAGCTCTTGCAAGGGGAGCTGCACCTTTTGGCCGCTGTCATCTAGCTGAGTCCCTGGTTTAGCCCTTTGGTCTGGCTGCCTTCCCTTGAGTTCCCTGCACCTCATGTGTGTCACCTGCTCCGTGACGCCGCAGCAGAGAGGCCATGAAGGTCCAGAGTTTCTTCAGAGCTTACATGACCCATTTTTCAGGCTGGGGTTGCCTCACTACTGTTAGTCAGTGCTGAGTCACCAGAAGGTAGCAGCTTTTTTCACACCATTTATAACTTCCAAGGCTGGCTCTCTCAGGAGCTTGATGTCACCCTGTCCCACATCAAGAATGGCAGAGCAACCAAAAGCAGAGTCCGGGACAGAGTCGGCAGAGGCCGACTGCCTGTACCCACTGGGCTGCCCCACACGGACATTAGAGGTGACACCAATCAGACACTGGTGTCGTAGGGAATCCAAACCCAGCAAATGCTCCTGAATAGATGCCGGAAGCCTAAGAGCTGGTGTCTGGTATTCCAGCCCAGCCCAGGAGAAACTTGGCAGAAAAGAGCCCTGTTTCTGTTCTTTCAGAGAAAAGGGTTCAACCATGAAGAAAAAGAACCCAGTGGTACGAAATCGTAACTGTCTGTGGAAGCTTCCTGCACACGAGGGGACAAGTCTTCTCTTTTTTTAAGTGTGTGGCTAGCATCCCTGGCTAACAGGAACAAACCGTTGGAGACTCTGTGTTACCACCGTGATAGTGGTGAAGACCTGCTGGGGACAGGACTTGTGGTGTGACTGACCAACACCCAGCCTGAGGGAGGGCGTGGCCCTGCTGCCTCAGCCCCACGGCTGGTGGCTGTCTGCATGAAGCACCAGCAAGGCCACACTTCTAATCCAGCTTCATCCAAAGGAAAGCTTACAGTCCAGTACGTCCTGGCTTCCTGGTTCCGTATTGGAGAAGGACAACATGAACAAATTCAGAACAAGAAGGAAATGTTACAGATTAGCTATTGAAATCAGTTTGAAATACTTTTCCCCTCCTGAAATCTAAGAGATCTGTGCCACAGAACAAAGATACAGGCACTTGCGGCAAAGCCTTTACCTTAACTAGCAAAGGAAAATGTAAGAAAGAAAAATTGATTTTGAAGACAGATTGTGAACTACAGGGAAGGAATGACGCAGCGTGGTCACATGGAGGCTCTGCGGTCTGCTTGGGTGCTCGGCACATCTCCACCCCAGCGGGCCGTCTACCCAGCTTTCCAGCCCGGCGGGCCCAGTGTGTTTGTGCTCACACCTCTTTATGTTTTAGGAGGCCATAGTTTTATTTAACTGAGCTGCAGAGGTTGATACTTAGAGCCATGGTGAAGTTGCTCTACTGAAAACGTAGGCTTTTATGTTGCAGAGGACCCAGTGTCGATGGTAGAGCATGCTCTGGTCTTGGAAGTGGTAGACCCGCCAAGACTTCATGTGCTGCTGGATACTGCGTCACTCGCTGGTGCTGCAGGCAGGTGTTGGGAGGACAGAAAGGCGATAGGTAGGAGCAGAACTCCGGAGGCGAATGAGGTCTGCACAGGGGCGTGAGAACAGCTCGTGGGACAGGCAGCGCCTATCTTGACACTTACAAGCCTAGGGTCTGTCCTGTTGGGACTGGGCGGCCTCCATCCTAAGTCACTGTGATCCCGCATTGTGAGGGCTGAGATGCCTAACTCTTACTCCTCCTGACACCAGCCAGGGTCGGCAGGGCTGCAGGGAGCCTAGGTCTGTGTCTCATTCAGCATGAAATCTGTTTAGAAAGAAGTGCAGCGGTATTGTCTGGGGCGTGTGGGGGAGGAAGGAAAAGGAGTAGGAAGGTATAGAGGAAATGAGCTCCTGGAGCTGCTCCAGGAAATACATGCATCTCGGATAGAACCTTCGTGGGGTTTTAAGAAGCTCCTGATAAGGCTGCGCCATTAAATCTGTAAAAATCATTACTGTGGAACTAGAGAAATATATGGTGATGAATATAAGAAAGAAACGAAAGGGTGGTGTTGGGGTCATTTCTTGGCTCCAGAGGTTCTAGGAGGAGCCCTTGGAGGTGAGTGCTCAGACAGTGTCACTAAGGCGGCCAGTGACTTCTCTATGTTTGCTGTGGCTTCCAGGAGCAGGTGCTGCCTGGCTGCTGGGCATGGGCTGCAAAAGACACTTGCTGTATATGATGTGGTCAGGGGCCGGCGGCCCAAACCACTCTTAGAATGTACTTTGTGAGCCCAGGCAAAGCTTCTGGAAGCCACTGACAATTAGAAAAACTAGCTTCCTCCTAACCTTCCCACCACAGTCAGAGGCCAGAACTGCCCTGGGCAAAAAAAGCAACCAACCCCCAGACAGCATTAGCAGCAGCTTGTTTGCAGTGCTCTCGTTACGAAAGGTGGAAACTGAGCCATGGTCCAGAGAGAGGGTGCAGTGGCTGTGTGGGGAAAGCACCCGTGGCCGGACCACAGAACTCAGACTGGCATTGGGGGTAGAAAAGTGGGTACATGTTTCTGTGCCAACAGTAAAACGAGTGTGCTATGGCCAGCTGATGGAAATGTCCACCAAGTACCAGGACCTACCACTTGCGGCCAGTCAGAACTGGAGGCCAGACGGAAGTACCAGGAGGGGACGCCTGGTGTTTCTCGCTGAGCACAGAGGGAGTGGGAGGTAGTGTGGACAGGCTGGGGAGCTTGGGCACAGTGCCTGGCCCAGCCCCACTGGAGAGGCCTGCCCCGCTGGAAGCCAGCGCAGGGTGCAGAGCCCTGGGCCACACCTCACACTCTGCAAGGTGCAGGCTCTGAAAGGGCCCTCCCTGAATGTTGGGAAACTAACCCAGTCTGAGAAGGACCATGGATCTGTTTACATCTACATCTAGAGCTCTGTGACACAGGCCCCTCCCCCAGACTGCTGCAGTCATCGATGGCACTCGAGCTTTTCTCATAGGTGAAAGAGCAAGTTTAGGTCAGGGCCTGGCCCTGACACTGCTCCCGAGATCCTTAGCCCGTGTGGCTTGTTTTCTCATCTGAGACTCCCAATGAGCTCGGGGCAGCTGGTGTTTCCATGGTTGCCTTGCAGTCCTGCAGTCTGTAAATGCTCACGTGAGACGAGTGGCTGCAGCTACACGGGAGCCCCCTCCCAGTTCCCTGCAGCGCACCCCCCCCCCCGCCAACTCCCCAACCACTTTTGGCTTTGAGATGAGTTCGTGAAGCCCAGGGAGATTTGCTGCCCTTCGCGGTGCTGCCCCGTTCTCCTCGGTCTGGGGGAAGGAGGCTGGGGGACCGTTAGAGGAGGTCTTTCAGAGGAGACCCCAGGACCCCACACACTTGCACAGTGTTGGACGGGAGGGTGTGGTGCTGTGTAGCACATACTCTGGCTCATCAGAGAGGCAGCCAGGCATTTTGCACTAAGAAGAATCAGTGATCTCTCTTTAGAAAACGCCTGTGGACCACAAATACATTACAGAGGAACAGGTTTTGCTAAGCTAAAATCTAGTTTTATAACTCAATCATGGATGAACCATATGTGGGTAACTTGCAGTTTAAAGGGATCTCATCAGTGAAAAGAACTTGATTTTTTTAAACAGACTGCTTTTAGTTAAATGGAAGAAAGTCACTTCTTGTCAGAAGGTTTAAACTTTCCTGCCTTGATCTTAAAAGCATGTCAAACAGTCCACATCAGATGCCATAAATATGAATTACAAGAGAACATGGTACAATCTCAGTGAATGGGAATTGGAATCAGAAGGGTTTGCTGTCTTTCTTAGGATGTTCTGAAATGTCGAGGCAGTTGCTTGTGTTTAACTGTGAACAAATAAAAATTTATTGTTTTGCACTACTCTCCTGCGTTGACATGGCTTATGCTGGCCTCGAGGGGGTGGGGGTGTGGTAGGTGAGGTAGGGGATCAGCCAAAGACGCACACCAGCGTGGGTCTGGGAGTTACCTGGGGTGCCTGGAGGAAGGTGTGGACAAGCGTGGGCTCTGGATTTAGTCCCTAAGAGGCTTTATGTGCTGGTAAAGTAGTGACACCCAAGTCTCTGCCTCAAATATTCACTTTTTCCCAAAGAATCGCTTGATGTTCACCTATCAGAGTCATCCACCAGAGAAACCGCGAACGCCAGCTGGCCACTGGTCTGCACCCCTGCCAGCCTGGCCCTCAGTGCCTGTACCGCAAGGGGCTGGCTGGGCCAGGTGTTGTGGAGCCCTTTTCTGCAGACGCCAGCAGACAGTTATTATGCTGTGATCTCGGTCTCTAAGCCTTGCCAGCTGCAGGTGTGTGTGTGCCAAGGGAAAGCACAGCGATGGTCACCACCTGCTCTGTGCCCTTCAGGCATTCAGCAGGAAGCAAGAAATGCCCTTTACTGGAGTTCGAGGTCCGCCGTGGCACTGCCGTGGGGCTGTCAGGTACGTTCCTCGGCTAAGCTGCTCCTGGAATTCAGTGCGGCTCTGCTCATTTTAATGGCAGAGGCAGCTCCTTTGAGACGGACTTGGAAGTGGCAGTTTGGGATTGTCTGAAAATTTGGGGTTTTATTGTCCGAACAGACCTCTCACCTACTTTCCACCCCTGGGGAAAGGTCTGCAGGCTGGCCCTGGCCCTGCGGCGGGACCCCCTTAGCCCCTTTCTGGGGATGGTTGCATGCTCGTCTGCAGCAGCTCCTCCACTGTCTGTGAGGGACCTTCCTGTGTGGTTGCTGTCCCGTGAACTTGGATGTCCTAGGAGAAACATAGGTTTTCTTTCAGGGCTAAACCCCAGGAAACCAAGCCAGGCAGAGAGGCGTTAGAACACTTTATTCTTGTATGTCTCCCCCCGAGGAAGCAACAATACAGAAGCTAAGTCGTCCCCTGTGAAGGGAAAAACCAACAGTCAGCGTGACTTGTGGCACGCTCAGAAACCAGGGACCCGTTTTACAATGTCTGGGCCTTCACAGTCTCCCTTTTCTAAGTCAAGGACAGGGATGGTTGGGTTCATCCCCTTTGCTTTGGTCCAGGGACATGAACATAGGCTGACCCCTGAGCTTCCATTGGGAAGTGGGAGCATCCCTGTCCTGGAGAGAGAGCTCGGGCCCTCCTCACTTCCCTGGCAGGGCGAGGGTGCTCAGTGCAGAGCTGGAACCACAGCTGGGCAGGCCAGGCAGAGAAAGCCAGCTCAGTGCCCTTCCTCTGGGACACCCACTACCAACACCACACTGCTTGGGCAGCTTGTTAAGCAGGGATCTTCTTCAGCATAGAGATTAGTACTAACATTTAGAGGTGAAAGCAAGAGAAGTGAGAGATTCTCAACAGTGTATTGGCCCCCTTTGGGCTTCATGGCAGACTGTATCAGTAAGAATGGATCAACCAGTTCGAACCACGCTTACTAAACAGAGCACCCCACGGCCTTGAGTTACAGTTTCCCACCAGGTGGCCTCCAGGGAGGTTTGCCGTGTCCTTTGTCTTTCCCCCTAGGTCTGAGGCTGTCTTTCAGAAGTTGCCTACATTTGAGTTTTCTCAGCACAGCCAGAGAATGCTCGGCCGACCCGGTGGCTTTCTGCTGAGCCGGGGGCACACTCACATGCTGCAGCGCCTTGCGGGGCAGTTTCTCCGAGTGGGCGATCCATTCTTTCATTGCGTCCAGGACGAGGGGGATGAGGCTGACCACACCTCCGTAGTGGTTCTTGGCCTCGTCACAGCTGAGGTGGTTCACCACATCATGAGGGTACCTGCGGGATGGGCGGCAAGGTTGGCAGTGAGCCACGAGGTTGCTACAAAAGGCCTTAGAACTGGCTGCGCACAGGTTCTGGTGCTGCAGGGTTAGGGCCAAGAGCCCCGGGTGTTTCTGAGGTGAAAGGTAAGAGCTGTGGACCACTGACTTGTGCTTAGGAGGAGCCTGGACTCAGGGCTCAGGAATCTGCTGTCATCTTTTCAAAATACACCAGTTAGTCCTTTGGCCTTTCCCACCCTACTATCTAAAGGTCCCCAAGACTTGGGCACACTGCACTCTGGCTCCCCAGGGGTAGGGGAAGGACCTGCCGTAATGGTGCTGTCACCCTTGGGATGGGCTCCTGTGTCCCACTTCGTGTGTTCCAGTGTGGACCTTCATGGGCTTCTGGGAACAACTCTTCTGTAAGCCTTTCTCTCTTGGCCTGGGGCTCAGTCTGATGAGACACTTTGTGCCCTACTGTGTGGCCTGGTTTTATAGGTGTGTGGGGTCCACATCATTCCAGTAAGTTGACAGGGACTAGGATTTTCCCCTTGGGAAAAAAAGCACATAGCCCACACCCAGCTCAGGGTCCCCTGCCCTCACCACAGGCTGCCCACACAGCAAAGCCTCTCCAGCAGGACCAGAGGGACTTACTTTGCTCTCAGGCTGCTCAAGTCACTGCTTTGGCTAACCAGGGTTTTGCATTTCTCGAGGAGGTTGTTGGTGACCGGGGTGCCAGAGTGCACGGCCTCGAAGTGCTGACAGAGCTTGTTCAGATCTGAACAGATGTCCAGGAACATGAGCAGGATCCGCCGGTCTGTGGAGTTGTAGCAGTGATGTTCCATGTAGCTCTGCACCTGCAAAGCCAGCATGACTTGAGCTGGGGAGATGCACCTCCCCAGTGCAGCAGTACCCTGTTCCCTCCCACCTTCAGCTTCCTGCACAGACTATAACATAAAGCTCTTGTCATTAAGCGCCCCACACCACTGCCATGCAAAATGCTTTCTTGGCCTGGTGTCACTCCTAACCTAAGTGCCACACAGTGGGTGGGTACCGTTTTAAATGGTCATTTTGCAGATAAATATTTTGAGTAGTAGAGATTCAAAGGGGTGGAATATGATGGTCAGTGCCCCTATGGAAGTAGCGTCCCAGCTCAGTGGTTCCCTCTGGGCCTGTTCTGCCCACCATTCCCCCAGCACCAAGCCAGCCACCACCCAAATTAAAAGGGGCCTTGTCCTGACCCTCCATGCCAGAGTCCCACACACAGGACCCACTGAGAACTGTGGCCAGCATCTCACCGACTGAGGAGGACTGGAAGGGATGAGGATCCTGTAGGTTTTAGTTGTACTGTGTTTATAGAGTAGGGGACAGAGGAGGGACAGGTGGATAAATTGAACCAAGAAAACTGATGATCCACATGAGAAAAAATATGGTCTCCCCTGTACCCCATGTTCATTGTCAGCTCTAGGAGGGTCATTTAAAAACCCTATGTGAGTATGTTTAGGAAAAATAGAAACCTTACTTTTCTCATTGCTGAGACAAAATACCCAACATCCACACGTTAAGGAAGGAAAGGTTTATTTAGCTCACAGTTTGTAGAGGTTTCAGTCCATAATTGCCTGGCTCCAAGGCAGGGTGACGTAGCAGAAAGGCAACAGTTCATGATAGACCGAAGGTAGCAAAGCAACAAGGTACCTTAACAGTGTCTTTCTGCTTCGTTCATACTCTATCTAGGCTATAGGGATTAGGGCATTGCCAAACTAATCAGTGGACTGATTTAGTAATCACACACCCTTAATCCCAGGATTGTACCATGAATCAGTCACACACTCTAGATCCAGCCACCTCTGAAAAAGCCCCACCAATGACTGCATGAGGCTTTGGGAGGATACCTAAACACAAGCCATAACATTCCACTCCTGTCCTCCCAAAGATTCATGCATATCCCTTTATGAAAAAGGCATTTAGTTCATCTCCAAGAGTTGCTAAAGTCCTAAGAGTTTCAGCACTGCTGAAAAGTCCAAGCCTAAAGTGTCCTCTGGGATTTAAGGCAAACTCTTAGCTGTGAGCCCCTGTACAAATAAAAAGAAAGATAAACACTTGCAACATTCAATGGCACAAGATAGACATTTCCATTCCAAAAGTTACAAATGAGGATACAAAGAAATGGAACTAAAGCAAGTACAAAATCCAGCACAGCAAACATTAAATCCTGTAGTTCCATGTGCAGCCTCCATGCAAGTTGTGCAGCCTCTGTGGCAAGTTGTGATCTCTGAAGGGCTTGAGTGGCTCTGCCCCTATGGCACTTCTGGTGGCTCCCATGCCTTCTCTCTTGGACTAGCTCTGTTTTATTCTTGCAATTTCTTCAGACAATCCACATTGCTGGCTTTTCCAAACTTCTAGGGTCTCCACTGCACCTTTGACTTCACACTCACAGCTTCACACGCTGCCCTCTCAAGGGCATACTGCCTGGCCTTCCAGGCCTTTTTCTGAAATTGGGGTGGAAGCCTTCATGACCCTACAACTCTTGCATTCTGCATGCATCTAAAACCAGTGCCATATGGATGATGCCAAGGTTTGCTACCAGTTGAAACAGTAGCCGGGTGTCATTCTCTTGGCTGTAGGAGTCAAGTGCCCATGAACTAAACTCCAAAGAAAAACTTCTCTGGGCTGCCACCATTCTGGAACATGGTACTCTGTGACTTTCTTCTCAAAGCATTCTTTCATTTTTGCAATCTGAGGCTGGAAAGAGTGGAGTCCTGCTGTTTCTCGTGATGCCCTCAGGCCATCTTTTCCATCTGTTCATTCTCAGCAATCAAGATCTCCTCTGCTTTATCTTTGCAATCCACCACTTTATTTACTAGAGCTTCTTTTCTGGCCAAACCCACAATGTTTTAAATCTTCCTGCTGGGCTCTTTGCTCTTGATTCTTAACATAAATCTGGCTGAAAGCCCCCAACAGTAGCCATATCACCACCTCAGACTGCCTTGAAATTTTTTCTGCAGATTAATTAGTCCATCACCCTTCATCTCAGGCAAAGTCTCTGAACATGTGTAAAACTTTGCAGACAAACTTTCTGTCAAGGATAACACACATCTGGAGTCCAGTAGCCAAAGATCTAGTCTTTACCAGTAGCACTTCTATCACACTTCTGGTCTTTTGAGCTCTGACCAGAATCCCCCATACAGAACAGCCTAAGGCATTCCAGCTCTACTTTTTTCAGCCAGCATCTCCAAACCTTTCCAAACTCTTCCTACAAGCCATTCCCAAAGGCTCCTGAACCACATGGTCAGGTACAGTCACAGCAATGACCCCACTACTCTGTTACAAAATTCTCTCTTAGTTACTTTTCCCATTGCTGAGACGAAACACCCAACACCCACAAATTAAAGGAGGAAAGGCTTATTTAGTTTGTAAATGTTTCAGTTCATGATTGGCTGATTCCCAGGAAAGGTAGCACATGGCAGGGTGGCAATAGTTCATGGTGGACAGAAGATAGCAAAGCAACAAGGGACCTTAACAGTGTTTTTCTGCTTCTTTAATACTGTATATAGACTACCAGGATTAGGGCACTGCCAAACCAGTCAGTGGACCAATTTAGTAATCATACACCCTTAATCCCAGCATTGCACATAAATCAGTCACACATTCTAGATCCAGCCACCTCTGCAAAAGTCCTCCCTATGACTGCATGAGGCTTTGAGGGAACATCTAGACACGAGCCGTAACACTTTCTAAAAGAAGCCATACAAGGGGCTCAGAGCTCAGAATACCGGAAGTGTGATCTACTTTCAACTCTTCCTTGGTGGGGCGTGCAGGTCCTTCCTGGGTTGTGGTCTTTCTCCACTTACCTGGGATCACCCACTAACTGTGTCTGAGATAGAACCAGGATGGGAGGCCTGATCTCTGCTGGGTAAGAACTGGCTTGGGTCCAGGTCCCATGAACTAAGCCATTTATTCCATAGCCAGTTAGTTCTCTCCAATCTGATGATGCAAGGGTATCCCCTGCCTCCCCAGCATCCTGTTGCTAAGGGATGTCTTCCCCAGTGGTCTGAAGTGGTTCCTCCCAAGCTTTGCGGTAGAGGATCTGGCCCCTGCAGATGGTCCTCTCTGCACTGTGGCTTAGGCCTTAACTTCCCAGAAAGCCTTCAAATCCTGTGGAGCAAGTGTGGACAACCAACCACTAACCCTCTAGGAGACGGAGTTAAATACAAAGGTCCATCAAGGCCACAAGCAGTGAGCTTGGCCTCTTGGGATTTCTCAGTCCCCAGAAGAATCCGGCGGAAGGCACCATATCCATGCGGTCACCAGTGCATCCCCAGGGTGCAGCTCAGAGCTGACAGATGACACCGGACACTCAAGTGCTTAGCATGGGCCAACTCTGGGCTGAGAGGTTTGCATGGATACTTTCCTGAATCTGCGCAACGCAGGAGGAAACCGAGGCTTAGTGGTACAGACTTGCTAGCCCCAGCTCTCAGAGATGGCAGGCGCTTAGACCCTGGCTGAGTTTTGAGCTCCTATTTTAACTGCTATGCAGTCTACTTACATATCTGGTAATGGATAAATGAAGGACTCATTCCATCAGTCAGGATCTGAGTCTGGACTGTGGCAGCAATGTGCTCCCACCCCCAGGCCTCCGTTTCATCTTTCCTGTGAGGGGACTAGGCCGCGGGAGCCCCCGGTGTCTGTATGCTGCCCCCCGTAACCTGCACGTTGGCCCCCACCAGGCAGCACCTGTCCAATGGTGGAGATGGGCCGGATCTTGTCGTGGGCGTTCTCCCTGCAGTGCTCCAGGGCTGCGATGAAGGTGAACTGCTGCTGCTGGAAGAGCTTGTACTTCTGCTCCACACCCCGGAGGGACTCTTTGACTTCATTCATTGACATCGACATGGTGTGTGGTCACCCGAGGGACACGAGGGATCTACAGGGAGGAAGAAGAGAGCCATGAGGTCCCGGAACGTGCAGCAGCTCTGGAGGGACGGGTTCCTTGGAGGAGGAGGATGCAGGCCATGGCCCTGTGTACACAGCCCTGTGCTGGGCCAGCATCTCGCCACAGCCCTGAGGGGCAGTAACTGAGTTCATCTGATCTGAGGGATACGTGCTGGAGATGCCCCACGCTGCCCATGACGGTGCTAAGCCTTGTCTGTTTAGCCTCCAGGGACACAGTGTGCTATGAAATGTGACTTCCTCCCCAGAGGTGCACAGTTTCCCTGGTCCTGTTTCTCCACATTGGATGTATAAGTACACGTGCATACGGGTGCACACACGCACACCCAGCCTAGAACACCTCCTCATGGTGTCAGCCCAACTTGGGATCAAGGGATATCAAACCGGATGTCAAATCAGCCGAATTCATGTTTGAATTTTAGAATACATGCTGTTCTGAAGCCGGTGGAACATCTAGGACTTCTTCCTAAGGGCTAAGCAGGGGCAAGGGTAAGCATTCAGTTATCTAGTTTGCGAAGACACAAGTCTCCCAACTCTGAGCTTGTGCAAAACACTCCAGGTCTGCTGGGCATGGTGGCACATGCCTGTAATCCCAGCACTTGGGAGGCTGAGGCAGGAGGATCGCCACAGGTTCGAGGCCAGCCTGGGCTATACAGTGAGTACAAGCGCAGTCTAAGCTACATACCAAGACCCTCTCAACAAAATAAAACAAAATAAATAATAAACAGATAAATAAATAAACTATAATCCCAAAAAGCAAAACACTCTAGATTCACAGATTTTTGAAAGGAACCTCTGCAGGCTGACTTCCCTTGACTTCAGGGGGCAATGAAGGCCCAGAGATAAGGAATTTGCCCAGGGTGTCACAGTGAGTCTGTGTCAGAGACATCTGGGTCTCAAACTTTCTGATGGTAAGGCAGCATCCTCGCGGCTGCACATTTGCCTGTACCTCCACTGCTGCCAGGCACCAGGACACGGAGTCCAGGCTCCAGCATGCCAGCCCCGAGCCACAGCAGCAGGGGCCAGCAGGGGCTGCGCTGAGGAAGGCAGGCACATTCTTGGCTTCTGGACAGGGAGGAGACAGCATGGAGGGGGAGGTGTTCCTTTCTGTGCCCCTCAGCATCCTGAACCCCCAAGCAGGGCTGGAGCTGGAAGGGTGTCTCAACGGGCAGCAGGGAAATAAAAGGAAATGTAAGAGTGGACCAGAAGAAACGACAGGTGGGTGTCAGAGAGACTGGAGAGGACCGTGAAGAGGCCTGCTAGGGGGACAAAGCGGGCTGCAGAGCCAAGGAGGGGCTTGAAAATCAGGCCCAATAGACCTGATCAGGCCTGCTACACATTTAACAGAGCATGCGCTGTACCAACAGCTGGGAGCAGGTGCAGCTCCCGTGTGGCTGAGCCTGGCCCGGGCTGGGCAGTGGCCTCCTTTGTCCTCGACCTTCTGCACATAGCACCTCTGCCTGAAGTGGGCACCTGCCCTATCATTGGCACCTTCCCCAGCGAGCAGAAACGACACAGGGGAGTCTATTATGCCTCCCAAGAAGTCAGGCACTAGACCTCCATGCAAGGTTTAAGAGGACACCAAAACCTCAGCAATCCGAGAAAAAATAGTTCTTTAAAAAGGTAACACAAAAACGTTCACGTGGAACAAAGTAACAGAGTATAAAAAAGAATTGATTTCCTTCTGTGCCTGGCCATGCAGGAGCCAGTGGTAAAAGGAAAACAGGAAATATCAGAAACAGGAAAAATCAGAAATAATGATCCCGTCTTCACTTACATTTTTGATACCTTCTTCTAAATGGATTTGGGACATTACTTTTGATTTGTAGACAATAAGTGCTAACGTAAATAAATCAAGACTGTCAAATATTGGTGCCCTGGTGTTTTGTGCCCAGCCTGACTTGCCTGACCCTGATCCGGCCCAGGGCGTACAAACAACTCAGGCTGAAGCCCTGGAAAAGTCCCAGTGACACAGGGGCGGCTTTCCAGGGAGACTGCAGTGTGCCCCATTGGTCTGGCTGTGCCTATACTGCCCAAAGCTGCGCTTGGCAGTGCTTGAGGTGGCCTTGGAGTCACACGATCTCAGGTTCAAATCGCAGGTCCACCCCTTTGTGGCAAGCTTAGGATATCACTGAGCCTGGGTCCTAACCTGCTGTCGGGACCTCGGGGTGAGTGGTACATGACAAGACAGGTTGAATTCATGAGCTCCAGAGCTCAGAATGGGGCGGTGCTGCTAGTGAAGGCTTCAGAGCTCTCTGTACTTAAACTGCATTTGAGGGAGGCAGCTGCTGCCGCAAGCCTGGTGCACACTGGGAGAGACAGAGACAGACAGAGAGAGACAGAGGGAGAGAGAGGGCTGGGTGGCTGAGGGCTTGGCCTCAAGGGGTGGGCCAGCAGGGAACCCGGACTTGAAAAGAAGAGTGCTTTGTGGAGCGGAAGCAGGCGGGTGAGGGAGCAGGAACATCGCCAACAGGTGCAGAAGAGGGCAGAGGGCAGGGCCAGGCCCAGGGGTCACACTGGGCATTCAGAAGGCAACTGACGGCTTTTACGCCAAGGGGGTGAACAGCACACTGTCCCAGTGCTGGGCTCTACTGTACTGGACAAAGACAAGCCCTGCCCTGGAGGAACTGGAGGCAAGCGGGTCCTTACAGAGGACAGGAAGCAGGGGAGGCGCCGACACATGGGAAGGAGGACCACACTGTCTGCCGGAGGGGAGTCACAGGAGGAGGGTGGCAGCCATGCAGGCTAATCCACGGCGGGCTCCAGCCCTCTGCAAGAGCCTGGCCTGAAGACCTGAGGAGGGGCGCTCACCCTGAGGACAGCTGGTCACCCCATGCCTGGGCCCTGGGCACACCCTACCTCCACTCCTCGCCACAGCCTTGAAAGATCAGCACGGTGAAACCAAGTAGCTAGGAGGCGGGCAAGCCTGGACCTTGCACTGAGCCTGCCTGACTTTCCAGTCTGCGCTCTTGACTGAGTCCCCGCACCCTGCTCCCCCCCTGCTGTTCCTTAGAGACAAACACGACAGACACTTGAACAACTAGTGTGGGGCAGGTGGGGAAAATACCAGGGATCTGAACAGTTACTTCCCGCTTCCCTGGCCCCAGGCCTTGCTTCCTCCACTCTCTCCTCCCCCGCCCCCAGCAATGAGGACTAGCACCCAGAGGGCTGTCTTTTGTGGCTCCCTCCCTGCCACCCTCTCAGGGCTTCCCGGGGCTGCCAAGCTCTCCAAGGATACGGCGCTACCTTGGCTGGTGGCCCCAAGAGCCCCTGAGAGCAAAACTGACTCGGTTCTTGATCCTAGCAACTTGTGACATGCACGCCAGGAATGTCATGAGAGGGGCTGTAATAAGCTATCCAAAGTGATCGGCCTTGAACGTGAGCCCCTGCCGCCAAATTAGTGGGCATGAAAGGCACGGGGGACAGGCACCTCTGCATCTGCGGGAGGAGGAGGAGAAAGTGATTACCGGGTAGATTTTAGGCTTTAATTGATTTGTATTTTTCTAGGCTGCTAAGCAAGATTAAATCATGGTATGAAAAGTGCCTAGGGCTTAAAATAAATGAGGAGAAAGGCAAGTCATTTCAGAAATGTCCAGAAAGCAAACCAAACCTCTCCGGTGCAAACTGCAGGCTTGGTTGTTGCGTTCTTTGTTCAGGGGAGTCAGCTTCCTTTTCTTCCCGCCTGCCTTTGCAGTGGAGTCTGACGTGCCCACGAGGGCCTGAGCGCTTTAAGGAAGCAGTTTTAGGGGAGGACGCAGCCCCTGGCTTCCTGTTGAAGGGTGTCTCTGGGCTGGGGTCTGGGCACCTAGTGCCATCCCTGGTTTGCTGCTGACTGTGACCCTGAGTATGATTCTTCCCCTTTCTGGGCCTCAGTTTATGCATCTGTGCAATGAGCCCGGACCCTGCTGATTCTCGCCTCCCTGACTAACACCTGTGGAGGGAAGAGGCCCAGAATGGACCTGGCCCACGTCACTCAGCCAACTACCTTGGGCATCTGACCTCCAAATTCTCATCTGATTATTGGAGCAGGTCCCTATCTCAGCAGGCTGCTGCAAAGATGACACCAGCAGTGGCCCTGGGTATCAGTCTTGCTGAGAGCCCTCGCTGGTGCTTCAAGCCAGTACTTCACGGAACGCCTTCATACTCCCCACTACGCGGGGAGCACCGAGGCTCCAAGCCCCTGACCCCACCCGCCCTCGCAGCCCCCTGTGTCCTCCCCTCGTCTCTCCCCGACATGTTTCGACCCGGGCTTGGGGTGGCGCCCGCACCCCTCTTTACCCTTGCTCGTCCTGCAGCGGCCTGTGCTCCCTGCGCACCTGCAGCCCGCGTGACTCCGTGGGTGTGCGGGAGGGAGGGGGAGGCCCTCCGCAGGACTAGGGGCAGCAGGGGTGGGGTGGGGCCGCCGCGGAGGGGGGCGTTGGGTTTGATTGTGACCGCGGTTCCATAGCAACCAGGTCACGTGGCCGCCCTGCCCCACCCCCGAGTTTGGGCCCGTCTGTCCCGGGACGCTGCTCTCTCTCCAAACACTCGCCACTCCATTTCACCATCCTCACTTGAAAGTTGGGAAAACTGAGGCCCCGGAAGTAGTGTCATCGGGAACCTCTGTCCAAGTGGCCCCTCTGATCCTGGAGGCCCAGCCAGGAGCGACCAGATGAGCTGGAAAGGGTTCCCGCTTGAGGGGCGCAGTTGGGACAGGGAGGGGATGACACGCCCAGGCGCGGGGCGGGGCCCGGGGGCGGGGCCCGGGGGCGGGGCGGGGACAGCGGGGACAGGTCGCACGCTGATGACGCCCCGGCGCGCACCCTAGCAACGCGGTTGTTAAGGTGCTGGAAAGCTTGGCGACATGGATGCGACCACGGCCCCTCACCGCATCCCCGCAGAGATGCCCCAGTACGGGGAGGCGAACAACATCTTCGAGTTGATGCAGGTGACCCGGGGCGCCTCCGCGCGGCGTCGGGGTGCGCGGCGAGGCAGCCCATTGTGTCACCGGGACCCGGAGGGGAGCCTTGAAGTCGCCCTCTGGTCTTGCTGCCCCGGGGGGAAGCAGGCAGGCCACCCGGCCAGAAGGTGGTCTGGCTCCGCCGCCTGCGGGCGGGACCGGCTGGAACGCCCGCTTCTTTCCTCGGGCCCCCCACCTGTGAGATGCCGGTGGCCTCTCCACACTTGCCCCACGGCCCGCCTCCTCAGGCCAGGCGGTCCTGGAGGTCCTGGCGGCCCCCACGCCCTCAGCGTCCCAGGCTGTGTGACTTTAGCCACAGCGCTGTCCCCACCTGCGTCCCGGCTTTACCTCCTGCAGCCGCGGGAGGGTGAGGCTTTCATGAAGTGGGCTGGAAGTGCTCTCTGCGCCGCTCAAGTTCTGAGCGGGAGCAAGCTGGAGCTCAGCTTCCAGAACCCCGGTCTGCTTCTCCGAGTGCACCCCTCCCCAGAGGCACCTGATGGTGATACCCGTGTACGTGACACTGTGGCCCCAGCGCAGGCTAAGAAACCCGAGTCGCCAGCTAAGACGGTTCCCTGGGAAAGTGATAAGCCTACGGAGTGGGAGAGCCCTGAAACTGCTTGAGTGGCCAGTTGCAAATGAGCTGCCTAAGTTGGGGGCTGCGTGGGGGAGCTTCCCGGGGTAGTGTCTGCTGCAGAGAACCTGGTGCTGCTCCCAGTGTGATCGACGGGGGGGGACTGCCCGAGAAAGCATTTCGATAGGTATTTCCAGGCCTCTGTCATTTGGCTGTTCCCTTGGGGGTCTGACAGGCCGGCACTGTGGAGTTCAGGGTGGCCTTGAACTCGCCTGGCCGTCCAGCCCAGGCTGGCTTCAAACTCACAGTCTTCCTGCCTGAGCTCAGTGCCAAGACTACAGGCTTGTGCTACCACACCTGGTTTCTATTTGCATTTTTAAACATCTTACTTTAAAATAATTTTGGACTCAAAGGTTACAAAAGTGGTATGACATCCTAGTCTGCCCATTCCCCAGGTCCCTGCAACAGTGGCATCTGACATAACGAGTGTATCATCCAAACTAGGAAAGTGATGTGTGTACAGTACCGTTACCTAGACCTTGGGCCTCCTTTGGATTTCATCCCTTCTTACTTGCACTCGTTTTTGTGGTTGTTGTGTACATGGTTCTGTGGAACTTTTACCAGATGTGTAAATTCACATAACCACTACCACGTTTCCATTTGAGTTTAATCATTTCTTGACAGCAACTCACTTTATAAAAATTAGTTTCTTTTGGCCTCATCCTAAGCAATATCTTCAAATTCAGAGGTTTTATGTACTTAGTTTTCTAATACACATGACGTATGCAACTACTTAGTCATGAGCACGCAGTCTAAAATTATCCTGTGCACAGCGCCTGCCTGGCACAGGCCCTGAATTCGATTCCCGGTACCACAAATAAATAAATAATGATCTTCTTACATAGCCCCATTGGTACATAAACATGGATTTAGCCCAGCTAAATTGAACGGGTAGGGAAACTGAGGCCTCGAAGCGGGGGACTTGCTGGCGAGATTGGAGAGGGGCCAGAACCAGGACTTCGCTGGGGCCAGTGCTCTTCTTCCTGCCTCACACTCCCTGCCCCCTCAGTGGCTAAAGCCCCCTCCTACTTGGCCCTCCAGCCCAGCCTTCTCAGCTATGCACCGCTGCTGCCAGCTGATTTCTCTTTTTGAAAAAATCAGTCCATGTCATGATCACATTCACCACGGGGCGTTGGGACGTGTACATACTGAGCTTCATTCCTTTCCCATCCCTTGGTCCCTTCCCACTTGCTTTCTCCTGACAGGTTTGCTTAGTCAGATTAAATGGACAGAGAGTCCCAGGACTATTTGGATATCTGGCTGGTAATGCTCTGCCCCCTCTGGAGAGTCCCATGGCTGCTTCTCCACTGAAGATCTGCTCTCGGCAGATCTTCCATACCTACTCTGATGTTGCCAAGCCCTAGGTGCCAGAGTCTCTGGGCCGACAGTGAGGCCCACAGAACCTATGACTCGCTTGGGGTGTGCGGTGGCAGTTGGGCCCGCAGGGACAACAAAAAGCAAGGGCCAGGGGGCACATGACAGGGGTGTGCAAGGGCGTGGGGCAGATAGGCCATTTACCTAATGCATTGATCAGAAAGGCACTTTCCTCTGGAGACCATGGGCCCAGGAGAAGGCAGCCAGCAAAAGAATGAAGAGATGCAGTCCAGGCTGAGGGAACAGGCCCCCAGAGGGCCAGTGACACAGGAGAACAGAAGGACATACCAAAGGAACCGAGGAGAGGGCCTGGAACTGCCTGCTCTGAGCCAGGGGCACAGGGCACTCACACAGCTCCCCATCCCTATGCTCATGGAGACCCCAGCAGAGGCCACTGTGGTGGGTGTGGGTACCAGGTGGAAGGCACCTTTGGTGGGGTGCAGTGGACTGGCAGGCCTCAGCTGACATCTACGGCAACCAGGGGCAGGCATTCACCAGCTGGGTGCCTCTCTCGTTTGCAGAACATGCTGGAGCAGCTCCTGATCCACCAGCCCCAGGACCCCATCCCCTTCATGATCGAGCACTTGCATCGGGACAACGATCACGGTGAGCCCTCGGGTGCACGCCTCCTCCTCCACCTCTTCTTCCTTTTCCTCCTCCTTCTCCCTTTCCTCCTACCCCACCCTCTGCCCTACCTGTGTCACAGACGGGGGGGCGAGAGGCTTTGACAACTTGAGGTGGTTAATTGAAAAATGCCTTCATTGCTTTAGGAGCACAACTAATAAAAATTCTCTTGCCAAGTTATTAAAATGCAAACCTCAGAATGGCCCACAGAATCAATTATTCATGTTTCTGCCTGCCCTGGCTGATGTCGCTTGTTGGGTCTAAACTCTCTGATCACTCCACTTGTCAGGTGTAAGTTGGGTTTCTGGTCTACCTCGACAGGCAAGCAGTAGGGCTTTTCTGATGGTCTCATTATCAGTGCCTGCTAATGAGTTCCAGCGCTCCCCAAACCTCAGGTTGGCCAGACCCAAGGCCAGAGCACAGAACCGGGAGGAGGGAGGCAGGGAAAGGGAGGCCCCGGAGCCAGCAAGCCCTCTTGCTCCATTCTGGGATGGGTCGGTTTACGAAGTGGAGGCTCGTTCTGGTGGAGGCGGGCCTCTCGGCAGCACCAAGCACTAATTCACCGATATGCTGATAGCGCTAGTGCTTCAGCAGAAGAAACATCAAAGCTCCAAGACACCGGTGCTGGACTATGTCCCCCAGGTCCTGGGGGCTCTTGGGCCTGACCCTGGTGAATTGGAGTGAGAGGCCGCTTCAGTTCAGGGCCACTGCACGGACCTACACGGGGGGGGGGGGGGGGGGGGGGGGTGGAAGGTGAGCCCCAACAGTGCCCTTTCCCGAGTCTCCAGTTAGGCAGGAATAGGAGAGCCTGTAGGTATTTCATGGTCTGCTGAGGTCCACTCAGTGCTGATACATAGGGGGGGAGTAGAGCTGTGACCCCCCTCAGAGGATCTGTTTATTATGCGGCACAGGTGGGAGGTTCTGCCCCCACCAGCCCTGCATGGCGGCCGTTACTCCCGCCCTTCCCTCCAGTGGTCCTCACTGCTGCAGACCCAGGCTCCCCTGGAGGAAGGCGTCTCTGCCTCCTCTTCCCAGCCCTCAAGCTGCATGGGAGCCAGGGCTTCGGTCCACAAACTCTGGCTCCCTCACTCCTCCACCACCGCGGTGATACAGACAAGCATCGGAGACGGAAATATGAGCAAAGCAAAGCTAAAGTAAAGTGAAAGGAGGAGCGGAGGAGCTCACACTGGCACTGCAATCTTCTGTCTTCACACTGACGGGACAGTGAGATCTGCACACTCTTGGCCTCAGTTTCCTCATCTGTAAAGTGAGTGTGTGCAGTGGACTGAAGTGAAGGCCACAAAGGCCTGGCCTGCCCCGTGGTGGCGGTCAGTGACCGCCCAGGAAGGAGAAGCCCCTAATGCTCCTGGAAGGTGATACGGCACTTTCTACTGGCCAAAAGCCTAATGAAAATTTCTTTTCTTGTTCAAATATCCTTTTTATTAGTGCCTATTAATTTCACAAGACACTTGGTCTCGATGTGGTATTTTCATATATAATTATAACATTTTGATCATATCCATCCCCATATTTTCTGAATTACCAATTGTGCTTGATAATGAACACTTGGGGCTGCACCGGCTCTTTCTGCTATTGGTCTGCAGATCCTGCCTGGGGCATATCTGCCCTGCTCTGTACGTAGGTATGTATATATTTATTTATAGACGGGGTCTCACTATGTAGTTCATAGTGAGTTGGATTGAACTCGCTATGTAGCCCAGGCTGGCTTCAAACTCAGTGATTCTCCTGCCTCAGCCTCCTAAGTGCTGGGATGTGGGCCACCAGGCCGAGCCCTGCTCTGTGTTCTTAAACTGTTAACCTCCAGGCTTCGCTAGGGCCCCAACCTCGAAATGCAAGAGCCTGAAATTTTCAACAGATTCTGCCTTCTCTTCATTATGTGATCCTGCTGCCCTGTCTGTAGGTGGCGGTTTCAATG